CCTGAATATGGTACCCCCATCCCTGAGGGACTTCCTCTCCAAGAGGCACAGCTACTTAGGCACCCATCTTACCTCTAGGCCCTTAGTGATAACCAATAGCAACTGCAATAATAGTAATGGCTAATACTAATTATGGAAGCTAGTAATAATAACATGATAATAGATAATGGCTAATAAAATAATACTAATAGCCTGCATAACTCATGATGGGACAATTTCTTTTCTTTTTTTTTTTTTTCTTTTTTTTTTTTTTTTGACAGGCAGAGTGGACAGTGAGAGAGAGAGAGAGACAGAGAGAAAGGTCTTCCTTTGCCGTTGGTTCACCCTCCAATGGCCGCCGCGGCCGGCACACCGCGCTGATCCGATGGCAGGAGCCAGGTGTTTCTCCTGGTCTCCCATGGGGTGCAGGGCCCAAGCACTTGGGCCATCCTCCACTGCACTCCCTGGCCACAGCAGAGGGCTGGCCTGGAAGAGGGGCAACCGGGACAGAATCCGGCGCCCCGACCGGGACTAGAACCCGGTGTGCCGGCGCCGCTAGGCGGAGGATTAGCCTAGTGAGCCGTGGCGCCGGCCCATGATGGGACAATTTCAACCCAGATTTGTATCCAGCAATAATTATGTATTATGTTCCCATAAAGGTGTATGAAATATGTATAACCTCTCTCTGCTTCCCCTCTCTGCAACTTTGCCTTTAAAAATAAATAAATCTTAAAAAAAAAAAAAAACTCAGCACTGTGTCATAGCAAACAAAGCCACAGCCTGCAGTGCTGGCATCCCAGGTGCTCCACTTCTGATCCAGCTCTCTGCTATGGCTTGGGAAAGCAGTGGAAAATGGCCCAAGTCCTTAGGCCCCTGCACCCACATGAGACCTGGAAGAAGCACCTAGGCCTCTAGCTTTGGATCAGCTCAGTTCCAGCTGTTGCGGCCACTTGAGGAGTGAACCAGTGGATTGAAGACCTCTCTCTCTCTCTCTCTCTCTCTCTCTCGCTCTCTGCCTTTGCCTCTGCCTCTCTGTAACTCTGCCTTTCAAATAAATAAATAAATCTTAAAAAAAAAGAAAAAAATATATAGCAGCATAATCATAACCCCAAACTCTTCTCTTCAAAGTCAAAATTTGAGGAGCCACAGATAGCCAATTATCAAAAAGTAGTTGTATTTGAATACACTAACTTGATGAACAACAATAAACATGAAAGTTGGGGGCAGGTATTTGGTGTAGCAGTTAAGCCACCACTTGGAATACCCACATCCCATATCCGGAGTGCTTGGGATCAGTTCCTGGCTTCCCTCTAGATTCTGCTAATGTGCGTCTTAGGAGGCATCAGGTGATGGCTCAAGTGGTTGAGCCCCTGCCACCCATGTAGTAGACCAAGAAGGAGTTCCAGGCTCCTGGCTTCAGCCTGGCCCAGTCCCAGCCATTACTGCCATTTGGGGGAATGAACCAGTGGTTTCTCTCTCTCTCCCCTCTCTATCACTTTGCCAATCAAACAAATCTTTTTTTTTTTTTTTTTTTTTTTTTTTAATGAGGGAAATTGGAGCAGGCGCTGTGGCTTAGCAGGTAAAGCTACTGCCTAGAACACTAGCATCTCATATGGGTGCTGGTTCGTATCCCGACTGTTCCACCTCTGACCCAGCTCCCTGCTAGTGCACCTGGCAAAGCAGTGGAAGATGGCCCAAGCACTTGGGCCCCTGCACCCATGTAGGAGACCTGGATGGGGAGTGAACCAGTGGATGGAAGATCTTTCACTTTCTCTCTCTCCCTCTCTCACTGCAACTGTTTCAGATAAATAAATAAATCTCTTTTTAATGGGGATAATTGGTTATACAGGTATTGGAAAGGCACAAAGGTGAAACTAAGGTAATGGAAGATAATAATTAAGGAAGCTATCTACCACCTACGTAGGGTTTGGCAAAAAGGGAAAGAGGAAGAAGTTACTGGAACCTCAGATGCTTAGAGGAGGGCCTACGGCGCTGGGGCCAAACCTCAGAGGAAGGGGCTCTGCCCAGCAGGCAGGGGCTCTGTGGCAGCCCGAAGCAGCTGCGGACTGGAGCTAAAGCAGAACTGACAGGGATGGGAAAATCAGGAAAGATTTCCCTCTTTCCTCCTGCCTCTCAGTTTCCCTCTCATGTTCCTATTGCCAGAATGTAACAGAAAGCCAGCCAGCAAGGTGATCCTGGGAATGTGCTAGTAGGACTTCCAACCCCAGCAACACAGAGCAGACAGGCTGAATCTGGAGTAGGAGACAAGGGCTTAATAACCGGAAATGCAGCAGACCTGTGGCTCTCTAATTTTGATTCCCTTTTTCTCACGGAAATTCCTTTATGTTCCAACTCAAAACTGAATATTCATCAGGGCCTCCCTTGCCTTGGTGGCCCCTGGATGCTAAGCCCTGACTCCTCAGTCCAACAATGCCCCTAGAGTAAGAAACAGTCTAAAGGCTGGGCTCATCTGGATCTCTGCCCTCTCTCGATCCTTGTCAAGTAATTCTTCAATTTCTGCTGACTCTGGGGCCAGCATTGTGACATAGTAGGTAAAGCCACCACCTGCAACACCAGCATCTCATATGGGCACCAGTTCGTGTCCTTACTGCTCCACTTCCAATCTAGCTCCCTGCTAATGGTCTGGGAAAAGCAGTGGAAGATGGCCCAAGTATTTGGATCCCTGCCACCCACGTGGAAGACCCAAATGAAGCTCCTGGCTCCCGACTTTGGCTCGGCCCAGCCCTGTCCATGGGGGTCATCTTGGGAGTGAACCAGCATATGGAAGCGCTCTCTCTCTTTCTCTCTCTCTCTCCCTCTCTCCATGTAACTCTGCCTTTTCAAATTAATTAATTAAAAAATGTTGCTGACTCTATCCTTTCAGGAATATGCTTTTAAAAAAAGATTGATTTATTCATTTGAAAGGCATAGTTAGAGAGAGGCAGAGAGAGAGAGAAGTCTACTATCCTCTGGTTCACTCCCCAAATGGCTGCAACGGCTAGAGCTGGGCCAATCCAAAGCCAGAAGCCAGGAGCCAGGAGCCAGGAGCCAGGAGCCAGGAGCTTCATCTGGGTCTCCCACGCAGGTACAGGGGCCCAAAGACTTGGGCCATATTCTACTGCTTTCCCAGGCCATAGCAAAGAGTTGGATCAGAAGTGGAGCAGCCAGGACTCAAACAGGCACCCATAAGGGATGCCAGCACTGCAGGTGGCAGCTTTACCCACTATGCCACAGCACCAGCCCCAGGAATATGCTTTTTAATAATTAGCTCAACATTTTAAGTTTTCAGAAGGAGTATAATTTTTTAAATATTTACTTATTTATTTATTTGAAAGGCAGAGTGACACAGATTATTTATTTGAAAGGCAGAGTGACACAGATCTTCCATCCAGTGATTCACTCCTCAAATGGCTACAACAGCAAGGGCTGCGTCAGGCTGAATCCAGGATCCAAAAACTATTCTGGTCTCCCGCCATTTTGAAAAACAAGTTTATTTTAGTGTAAAATATTTAAAATCTGTCCAGCGCCATGGCTCACTTGGTTAATCCTCCGCCTGTGGCACCGGCATCCCATATGGGTGCCAGGTTCTAGTCCTGGTTGCTCCTCTTCCAGGACAGCTCTCTGCTGTGGCCCGGGAGGGCAGTGGAGGATGGTCCAAGTGCTTGGGCCCCTGCACCCACATGGGAGACCCAGAGGAAGCTCCTGGCTCCTGGCTTCAGATCAGGGCAACTCTAGCCACTGCAGCTATTTGGGGAGTGAACCAGCAGATGGAAGACCTCTATCTGTCTCTCTCTTACTCTGCTTCTGTAACTCTGCTTCTCATATAAATATTTTAAAAAACAAACAAAAAAGCAGCAACAACCATGGCTGGAGCTGAAACCAAGAGCTGGAAACTCAGTCGAGCTCTGCCAAGCAAGCAGCAGGAACCAAGCTATTTGTGCCATCACTGCTGCCTCCCAGGTTCTGTATTGGCAGGAACCTAGAGTCAGCAGCCAGAAGCCAGGTATCCAACCCAGGTACTCTTATGTGGGGCACTAGACTAACGTCCTGCTCTCCATGAACTCCTTTTAAAAATATATAGATACATTTATATATGTGTGTATTATTATTATTATTATTTTTAATGAGAGAGGGAAAGACAAAGAGTTCTTCCATCTGGTGGTTCACTCCCCAGAGGTTGGGCCAGTCCTAAGCCAGGAGTTTCATCCAGGTTTCCCATGTGAGCTATCTTCTGCTGCTTTTCCAGGTGCATTAGCAAGGAGCCGGATCAGAAGTGGTGCAGGGGCCAGCGCTGTGGTGTAGCGGGTAAAGCCGCTGCCTGCAGTGCCGGCATCTCTCATGGGTGCCAGTTCGAGTCCCGCTGCTCCACTTCCCATCCAGCTCTCTGCTATGGGCTGGAAAAGCAGAATGTATAGTATAAGATAGCCCAAGCCCTTGGGCCCCTGCACCCACGTGGGAGACCAGGAAGAAGCTCCTGGCTCCTGGCGTTGGAATGGCGCAGCTCCGGCAGGTGTAGCCATTTGGGGAGTGAACCAGTGGGTGAGTGGGTGGAAGACTCTCTCTCTCTCTCTCTCTCTCTGCCTTTCCTTCTCTGTAACTGTTTTTCAAATAAATAAATATTTTTATTTAGAAAGAAAGAAAAAAGAAGTGGTGCCATTTGGGACGCCAGGGCGGCAGGCAGGAGCCGCCACATTGCTAGCTCCTCCATGAACTTTTTTTTGGGGGGACAGGCAGAGTGGATAGTGTGAGAGAGACAGAGAGAAAGATCTTCCTTTTGCCGTTGGTTCACCCTGCAATGGCCGCTGCACCGCGCTGATCCGAAGGCAGGAGCCAGGTGCTTCTCTTGGTCTCCCATGGGGTGCAGGGCCCAAGGACTTGGGCCATCCTCCACTGCACTCCCTGGCCACAGCAGAGAGCGGGCCTGGAAGAGGGGCAACCGGGACAGAACCTGGCGCCCCGACCGGGACTAGAACCCGGTGTGCCGGCACTGCAAGGCGGAGGATTAGCCTAGTGAGCCACGGCGCCGGTCCCTCCATAAACTTTCCAAAGCCCACTCATATAGGTCTTAAATTTCACTTTCATTTTAACAAACTTCAGGGATTCTTTTCAGTCAGTCTCAACATTCAGATCTAACTCACTCTAAGACTTCACGGAATATTTTGACCTAGTTAGGGTCAGGACACATCCTCGCAGCTAAGGCCCCCAGGAGAGCCCAGCAAGGGGATGGAATTAGGAAGATTCCTGCTTGGTTGACCAACTCCCTCACCGACCTCCCACCTGTCGGCTGGTCTGCGCAGCCAGGGGCAGCGGCACGCCTGGGGTGGGGCGAGGGGAGCCCACGTCGCGTCGCGCGCAGACGCAGGCTGCACGCAGAGGCCGCCCAGCCCGTGGGGGCGCTCGCCCGCGTAGGGAGCTGGGGATTTGTGGCGCCTCCCGCCGGCCACGCTGCTCGGCGTGGGGTTCCCAGCCCGTCGGTTGCAGCGTCGTCGCCTGACTGAAACTCTCTCAGAGGGAGGCCACACCGCTGAGTCACCTTAATCGGAGCTTCGGACCCTCGACTCTCTGCCCTTCGCCTCCCCAGTCTCGTGATCATCACCCTTGCACCCCGGCTGGGTCTTGCGCAATATGCAGCCCACGGGCCTCGAGGGTCCCCACTTGTCCTGCCGGCGGCCTCTGCTGCGTTTGCTGTTACTGCTACTGCTGCTGGTAACCCGCGCCCAGACCTTGCCCGGACCTCCTGGTGCCCCCAATGCCACGACCGTGCTGGGCGCCACCAACGCCACAGCTATGCATGGAGCCTCCGGTGCGCTGGGCCTGCGGGAGCGTGCGCAAGCTCTGATGCGGAACTTCCCGCTTGTGGACGGGTATGTAGATATGGCGTACAGAGTAGGCAAGTAGGGGCTGAGAGCACCCGTGGGCAGGGAAGGAGGTTCTGATCGTGCAGGGTTAGCAAGGAGGCCCCCTCATACCACGCCCGGATGCCATCTCCTCCATTACTGCACTCCTGGTGGACCCCACCCCCACCCCCCACCTCCGTCTTCAGCCTGGTCTCAGGAGGTCACCATATTGTCTACGCATGACCAGGACGTGGGTGGAGTGGGGGAGGTAGGCTCAGGAAGGTTGATATGTCCTGCCTTTGTCTCCACCCTCAGCCACAATGACCTGCCTATGCTCCTGAGACAACTTTACCAGAACATACTACAGGATGTCAACCTACACAACTTCAGCCAAGGCCAGACCAGCCTGGACAGGCTTAGAGATGGCCTCGTGGGGGCACAGGTACCATAGGGGCACACAGGGTGCCACTGCACATGGCTGCTGGGGAATGCTGGGGTCACAGAAGACTGGGTTGGCCAACCTCTGGGTGACTAAGTACCAAGGGACACACAGTATATAATCATGTGGGTGCTGGTGGTGCTGCTGGTGGGGCCCTGGGCGGGGGAGGGAGGGTTGCCTGGACAAGCAAGCTGCAGGGGTGTCCAGGTTCTGTGGAGACATGCAGAAAGCAGAAAATCCTTGCTGACCAGAAAGGACACGGTCGATTGCCCTGGGACACTGACATATCACATGGAGATGCAGCAATCCGAAATGTGTCCTGATTCCACTGTTTGGCTGTTGGTAGCAAGCTTAATTACCAGGGTGCCTGGTACCCTACTGTGCTGCCTCACTTGGGGCCATTAACCCAAATGGGTGCGCTGGGGACTGAGGCAGGGGTGGCAGGCCTAGGAGTTTAGAGGCACCCTGGCTCATTCTGGATCCCTCATGGACCCCCAGTTCTGGTCAGTCAATGTCCCATGCGAGACCCAGGACCAAGATGCTGTGCGCCTCAGCCTGGAGCAGATTGACCTCATTCGCCGCATGTGTGCCTCCTACTCTGAGCTGGAGCTTGTGACCTCGGCTGAAGGTAGGCTGGCGGGTTGGAGGAGAAGCAGGGGCTCAAATAGTTCTGTCTCTGCTCTGACCAATTGCCTCTCCACCCTTTTTAGGTCTGAACAGCACTCAAAAGCTGGCCTGCCTCATCGGTGTGGAGGGTGGTCACTCAGTGGACAGCAGCCTCTCTGTGCTGCGCAGTTTCTATGTGCTGGGAGTGCGCTACCTGACGCTCACCCACACCTGCAGCACACCCTGGTGAGCGTGGGGCCTGGCTGGGGTGCAATGGTAGATAACACGGTGTGGAAACGACCACATCCCTGGGATCGTTTTAACTAGAAAGGGCTCCACAGAGGGAGGCTGCACCCCCAGCAGCCCCTCACACTCTCAAAAAGTAGCTGGCCCTGGGTCCTCACCTGTTCCAGAGGTGAATGGATGGGTAGACAGAGGGCCCTGGGACTTTGATGTCCAAGATATGGCCAGCTAGGTTGCCCTTCCCTAAATGTTCTGCAGGGCAGAGAGTTCCAGCAAGTTCACACACCCCTTCTACACCAACGTCAGCGGGTTGACAAGTTTTGGTGAGGTGAGGACTGTTGTTCTATACCCCACCCTACTGGTTCCCTACCAGTGTGCTCCTGATACCCCTCTCTCCAAAACCCCAACTGTTCCTGCAGAAAATGGTGGGAGAAATGAACCGGTTAGGCATGATGATAGACTTGTCCTATGCATCGGACACCTTGGTGAAGCGAGTCCTGGAGGTATCCGGAGCTCCTGTGATCTTCTCCCACTCGGCTGCCAGGACTGTGTGCGACAATTTGCTGAATGTTCCTGATGATATCCTGCAACTTCTGGTGAGTACCCAGCCAGCCCTCAAGCCTAGGGCCAGACATGCTTCATTCAAAGATTCTTGACCTTGAGCAAAGAAAGCTCACAGACTCATGGACCCAAAGCTGATTAACCCTCCTCCATCTCTGAAACTCAAAGTTAAATCCAGGGACCTACAAACCCAGAGAGGTAAAGCCTCTTCAACAACTCTATCAGGGCCCCCGTGGCACAGGTGGGTTGGCAGAAGACAAGGGGATAAGGCAAGAGGGCCAAGCTGAGTGTTCCTCCTTTTCTTCCTATAGAAGAAGAATGGTGGCATTGTGATGGTGACCCTCTCCTTCGGGGTGCTGCAGTGTAACCTGTTTGCTAATGTGTCCACCGTGGCAGGTGAGCTCCTCCTTAGCTCTTTGTGCAGGTCTGGCTTAGGCTGTGCCACCCTGGCCCCCCAGGACAGCTCCAGAAGTTTAGCACACATGTCGGGTACACCCTCCAACAACTCAAGGACAGCAGACACAACTCTTTGTTGCCACCCTGGTCTGAGTGCTTGGGATTTGATCCTTCTGAGTCTTATTTTTGCTCCTAATCCTTGAATTTTTCTTATTACCCACTTCCCTGGGCAGGACAAGCAGATGTCCCACCAGGCTCTGAAGAACCCAGAGGCAGGAAAAAGTCCAAAGGGGTGGCCCTGAGGTTCAGTCTAGGTCAGCCTGTAGTCACATCAGGATTCATGACAGGCCATGAACTCTGTGGAGTCAGCTGCCACAGCCAGAAGAGCTGTGCTTGTGGGCAGGGAAGTTGGCCAGGGCTGGTCCCATGGTCTAAATTCAGCTCATTGCTTCCTACCACTTACTCCACCCTCTAGATCACTTCGACCACATCAGATCAGTCATTGGATCGGAGTTCATAGGGATTGGCGGAAATTATGATGGGTCAGGCCGGTGAGTGGTTCCCCAGGGTTTGTTGTGGGCAAGAGTACACCAGGGAGTCCCATATGTAAACTTCCCCATCCTAGGGGCCTCCCATCCTTCATGGTCTAACTACTGGCTCTGGTGACATCCCCCACTCCCAGGGCTTGTTTCCAAGGTGGTCCCTGTCCCTTCTGTGCCTTAGTGGGTCCACTCCAGCCCATCACACTTGCTCAGCACTCCTGTACCCCAAGGGGAACTCATCTGCCCAGCTCAGGTTCCACCCCCTGCCCCGTATATCTGCTCAGCTGGTGGATACTACAGAAGCTCGGTCCTCAAGGGGCTTCCAAAGTTGCATTCACTAGCCTCAAGAACTTGGTCTCTAGTTTCCCATATATGTGATTGGGGCTGGTAGAATGATAGGCCCAACACCAGAGCCAAGGCTAAGGTCAGTGGGTCCTAGACCAGAATCAAGGCTAAGCTGACTGGCTGGTGGCTGCATAGGTTCCCCCAGGGACTGGAGGACGTGTCCAAATACCCAGTGCTGATAGAGGAGTTGCTGAGGCGGGGCTGGAGAGAGGACGAGCTCCAAGGTGTGCTTCGTGGAAACCTGCTGCGGGTCTTCAGCCAAGTGGAACAGGTGTGCTGGGCTAGGTAGAAGGATGTTTCAGTGGTTTGAGTGGATGAGGGGTTTGCTGTGGCAATGTCTGACTGCTGATTTCCTCCCACAGGTGAGAGAGGAAAGAAGAGAGCAGAACCCTGTGGAGGCTGAGCTTCCAGACAGGCGTCCAGTCAGGCCCTGCCACTCCCACCTCCTGCCTCAGCCTCAGAATGAACCCTTGGGTACCCACCTGGAGGTGACCAAGTGGCCATCCGGTCAGGTGCTCCAGAGCCCCTCAAAAGCCTCCCCACACCTCTTCCTAGGCCTTGTGGCTGCTACCATCCTCCCAATTCTTATCCTATGGCTCTTGTGACCTAAATGCTAATCTCCCCAGAGGTCTCTGTAGCAGTCCCAAAGTCCCCTTCCTACTTGTCCAGGCATAAGCTATATTGAGAATAAACGTTGTAGGCATGGAGCCAGGTGTGTTTTTCCTTCTTCAGCTGGGGCACGTGGGCTCTTGGTTGGTAAGGGGTTTTGGGCCTGGCCCCAGCTCCTCCAGGAATCCAGTTCCCACTTACCTCCAACTCTGGCTGTACAGAGGTGTCTTACCAGATTCGTATGTGAAAAGCCGATGTCCACAGATGAGTACACAGAAATCAAATTCAGTGTCAGTCCCATCACAGAGTATGACTGCAAGTGGGTCCTTTTTCTCTGGAAGATTTTTAAAAAATATTTATTTGAGAGGAAGAGTTACAGAGAGAGGGAGAGACACAGAGAGAGATCTGTCATCCACTGGTTCACTCCCCAGATGGCCTCAACAGCCAGAGCTAGGCCAGTCTGAAGCCAGGAGCTTCTTCTGGGTCTCCCGTGTGGGTGCAGGGGGCTAAGCACTTGGGCAATCATCCAGTGCTTTCACAGGCCATTAACAGGGAGCTGGATTGGAAGTAGAGCAGCTGGGACTCAAACTGGTGCCCATATGGGATGCCAGTATCACAGGCAGAGGCTTAACCTACTAGCCACAGCGTTGGTACTAATTAATAAATATTTTTTTAAAGAAAAATACAACTTAAAAAGAGAAAAAGAAGGAAATTAATGCTGTCCTCTTGGCTCACTACAGTTCTTTCTTTTTTTTTTTTTTATTTTTTTTTATTTTTGACAGGCAGAGTGGATAGTGAGAGAGAGAGAGACAGAGAGAAAGGTCTTCCTTTGCCGTTGGTTCACCCTCCAATGGCCGCCGCGGCCGGCGCGCTGCGGCCGGTGCACCGCGCTGATCCGATGGCAGGAGCCAGGAGCCAGGTGCTTTTCCTGGTCTCCCATGGGGTGCAGGGCCCAAGCACCTGGGCCATCCTCCACTGCACTCCCTGGCCACAGCAGAGGGCTGGCCTGGAAGAGGGGCAACCGGGACAGAATCCGGCGCCCCGACCGGGACTAGAACCCGGTGTGCCGGCGCCGCTAGGCGGAGGATTAGCCTAGTGAGCCGCGGCGCCGGCCACTACAGTTCTTTCTTTAGCCACTTTCCTCTCTAGGTGGGCCAGAATCAGATCTAAGTTCCCTCTATGAGATTTTGAGATTGGAAAAAAGAAAGACTTCAGTGCTACCTATGTTATAAATCAAAGGTCTGTTTGTTTATTGTATCAATACCACAATGTCATGGGGCCGGCACTGTGGCACAGCCAGTTAACACTCTGGCGTGAAGTGCCGGCATCCCATTTGGGAGTAGTCTTGGCTGCTCCACTTCCAATCCAGCTCTCTGCTATGGCCTGGGAAAGCGGTGGAGGTTGGCCCAAGTCCTCGGGCCCCTGCACCCACATGGGAGACCCAGAAGAAGCTCCTGGCTCCTGGTTTCGGATCAGCCCAGCTCCGGCCATTGTGGCCAATTGGGGAGTGAGCCATCGGATGGAAGACCGACCTCTCTCTCTCTGCCTCTCCTCTCTCTGTGTAACTCTGACTTTCAAATAAATAAATAAATCTTACAAACAACAACAACAATGTCATGGCAACTTTAAAGTAAGTTTTGTGGGACCAGCACTGTGGCACAGCAGGTTAAAGCCATGGCCTGAAACGCTGGCATCCCATATGGGCGTTGGTTCTATTCCCAGCTGCTCCTCTTCCAATCCAGCTCTCTGCTGTGGCCTGGGAAGGCAGCAGAAGATGGCCCAAGTCCTTGGGCCCCTGCACCCACGTGGGAGACCCAGAGGAGGCTCCTGACTCCTGGTTTTGGATCGGCACAGCTCTGGCCATTGCAGCCATCTGGGGAGTGAACCAGTGGATGGAAGACCTCTCTCTCTGTCTCTACCTCTCTCTGTAACTCTTGTCTTTCAAATAAATAAAATAAATCTTAAAAAATAAAATAAAATAAGTTTTGTAAAAAAAAATCCCTTTTGGGGCCGGCGCTGTGGCGCAGTGGGTTAACGCCCTGGCCTGAATCGTCGGCATCCCATATGGGTGCAGGTTCGCAACCCGGCTGCACCACTTCCGATCCAGCTCTCTGCTGTGGCCTGGGAAAGCAGTAGAAGATGGCCCAAGTCCTTGGGCCCCTGCACCTGTGTGGGAGACCCAGAAGAAGCTCCTGGCTCCTGGCTTTGGATCAGCGCAGCTCTGACCGTTGCGGCCAATTGGGGAGTAAACCATCAGATGGAAGTCTCTCTCTCTCTTTCTGCCTCTCCTCTCTGTGTAACTCTGACTTTCGAATAAGTAAATAAAAATCTTTTAAAAAAAAACCTTTATTTATTTTTATTTGAAAGGCAGGGAGACACACATACCCAGAAATAGACAGTTGGAGAGAGATCTTCCATTCACTAGTTCATTCTCCAAATGCTTATAACAGTCAGAGCAGGGATAGGCCAAAGCCAGGAGCCCAAACTCCTTCTGGTTCTCCCAGGTGAATTGCAAGGACCCAGGCACTCAAGCCATTATCTCCCAAGGTGCATTAGTAGAAAGTTGGAATGGAAGTGGAAGAGCTGGGATTCAAACTGACTCTCTGATATGGGCTATGCATCCCCAGCTGCAGTTTGACTGTGTCACAAAGCCTGCCCATGTTCTAGATATTTCTCCTCCTCCCCCTCCTCTTCCCCTTTCCCCTTCTCTACCTCCTTCTTCCTCCAACTCTCCCCTTCCCCCCTCCTCCCCGTGAGGGGGGACAGCACTGTGACATAGTAGGCTAAGCATCTCTCCCATATGGGTGTTAGTTCTAGTCCTGGCTGTCCTTTTAGTCCTTCTAATCCAGCTCTCTGCTATGGCCTGGGAAAGCAGTGGAAGATGGCCCAAGTCCTTGGGCTTCTGCACCCATGTGGGAGACCCAGAAGAACCTCCTGGCTCCTGGCTTTGAATTGGCACAGCTCTGGCCATTGTAGCCAATGGGGAGTGAACCAGTGGATAGAAGACCTCTCTCTCTCTCTCTGCCTCCCCTCTTTCTGTGTAACTTTGACTTTCAAGTAAATAATAAATAAATCTTTTAAAAAAAGAAAGTAGTTATACCATTAGGAAGCCAAACAGCCCATAAAAGGGTCCACATGTAGAGGACCAATGCCCTGGGCCCTGTCACCCCAGTGGACTCCTAGCCTACAGATGGAAACAACTTGTGAGTTATGAGATGGAGTCATCTTGGAAGTGTATCCTCTGGCCCCAGCTGAATTCATGTGGAGTAGAGATGAGCTGTACTCAGTTTGCACATTTGTAAGTAAATACTGTTATTTTAAGTCACCTGAACAATTAAATTTTTCAATATTTATTTGAAAGCAGAATGACAGATCTTCCTTCACTGGATCACTCCTCAAATGGCCATGGGCCAAGGCCATGAGCACAGAACTGCATCTGAGACTCCCACATAGGTGGTATGGGTTCATGAGCCTTCTTCTGTTGCCTTCCCAGGCACATTAGCTGAATGTAATTGGTAGTCCAATGTGGGATGCTAGCATTGTAAGCAACAGCTTAATCTGCCATGCTATAATGCCCATTCCTAATTTCAATTTTTTTAAAGATTTATTTATTTCAAAGAGTTGCAGAGAGAGAGGGAGAGGCAGAGAGAGAGACATCCTCCATCTGCTAATTCACTCCCCAGATGGCCACAAAGGCCGGGGGCTGGTCCAGGCCAAAGCCAGAAGCCAGGGGCTTCTTCCAGGAATCCAACAGGGGCACCAGGAGCCCAAGCACTTGAGCCATCATCTACTGCTTTTCTCGGGCCATTTGCAGGGAGCTGGATCGGAAGTGGAGAAGCCGGACAGGAACTGGCACCCACGTGGGATGTCACATCCCAGGTGGTGGTTTTACTGTTAGGAAAATGGCAAAGTCTTATCTATGGTGCAATCTACACCCTGATCTACATCGTAGGTCCTAGCCCCGCCGCCACTGCTGAAAGCCAGGTAGCCACATGGCCCAACCACCGGTGTCAAGCTCCACCCCCAACCTAATGGGATTCACTATTCCTACTTCCCTTCCCGCCCCCTGGAAAAGGGATATTAGACCTGCTCTCTGGAGGCATGCTCTTTTTTCCTTCTTCGCCCCTACACTCCGGTCTGCTGGGTTTTCCCCAGTAAACCCCTTCCCTTACTCTGGTGTTTGGGGTGTTTTGTGGTGATTTTACATTTACCCCTGCCACCATAACACCCTTAAATTTTTTGTTTAAGATTTATTTATTTATTTGAGAGTCAGACACACAGAGAGAAGGTGAGGGGAGAAGTCTTCCATCCGATGGTTCATTCTCCAGTTGGCCACAACTGCCAGAGCTGCGCTGATCTGAAGCCAGGAGCCAGGAGCTTCTTCCCGGTCTCCCACACGGGTGCGGGGGCCCAAGGCCTTGGGCCATCTTCCACTGCTTTCCAAGGCCGCAGCACAGAGCTAGATCAGAAGTGGAGCATCCAGGGCTGGAACTAGCGCCCATATGGGATGCCAGCACTGTAGGCGGTGGCTTCACTCCCTATGCCACAGCGCTGACCGCTAAAAAAAATTTTTTTAAAGATCTATTTACTGGGGCCTGCGTTGTGGCAGAGGGGTAAAGCCACCGCTAGCCACACCAGCATCTCATATGGGCGCCATTTTGAGTCCCAGGTGCTCCAGCTGCCTGCTAATGGCCTGGAAAAAGCGCCAGAGTGTTTGGGCCCCTGCCTCCCTTGTGTGGGAGACCCAGACGAAGCTACTGGCTCCTGGCCGTTGAGGCTATCTGGGGAGTGAACCAGAGAACACATGACCTCTCTCTGTCGCTCCCTCTCTCCATATAACTCTTTGAAATAACAAATACATATTTTTCTTAATATTCTTTTTTTTTTTTTTTGACAGGCAGAGTGGACAGTGAGAGAGAGACAGAGAGAAAGGTCTTCCTTTGCCGTTGGTTCACCCTCCAATGGCCGCCGCGGCCAGCGCGCTGCGGCCGGCGCATCGCGCTGATCTGATGGCAGGAGCCAGGAGCTTCTCCTGGTTTCCCATGGGGTGCAGGGCCCAAGCACTTGGGCCATCCTCCACTGCACTCCCTGGCCACAGCAGAGAGCTGGCCTGGAAGAGGGGCAACCGGGACAGAATCCGGCGCCCCGACCGGGACTAGAACCCCGTGTGCCGGCGCCGCAAGGTGGAGGATTAGCCTAGTGAGCTGCGGCGCCGGCTCCTTAATATTCTTTTTAAAATATTTTATTTATTCCCGCCCTTGTGAAGTCCAGAGTCCAGTCAGTGGGCAGGCAGGACTCCCAGCAAGTTTGGCCCACACGGGGTACTGCGAAGGGAGAGTGCCTCCGAGGCACCGGCCCAGGTCGCGGAGAGGGCGAGGGCTGCAGAGAGAAACTTTTAGAGGGGCTGGCGGTCCCCACGAGGAGGTTGGTCAGAGAGGGTGGGGGCCGGGCGCGCAGGGCTGACGCCTCCGGGGCCCCCAAGTCTGAGGAGGCTGTCTGGGGGTGCGCCGGGACAGCCGGCAGGGCCGGGGGGTGGGGGAAGCAGGTTTCGTGGGCCCAGACGGGAAGCGGCGGCTCCACCGGGAGAGAGCGAGCGAGGCGTCCAGCCCAACGGCTGCGGCCGGGGGCTGCCGAAAGTGGCGGGAGGTGAGGGGCGGCCGAGGAGGAGGGGCCGGGCGGTCAGCTCGGGGTCCCCGAGGCGGCCTGGAGGAGCTCGGCCACGCTGAGGTGGTCCTGGGGTTTTCTGATAGGGAGAGAGAAATAGTCGAAAGGAGGCCCGGAGAGATAACGATGCTTGAGGAAAGCCAGCGAGATAAGTTATCTGAAGCCCTGGCGTAGAAAGTGAAAGAAGAGCGCGGGGCTAACAAGTCAACGGCTGGGTAAAGGAATCCCCGCGAAGTCAGGCAGTAAAAGAGAAAGTTAAAGGTCGTGGCCAAAGCACCTCGCGTGCTGTCCCCAAGCGGGACAGCAGCGCCCAGCCGCCTCCGCCGGCGCGAGAGGGTGCGGCCCACGCGCCCTTCGCGCGGCGAACTCGTCCTCCCGGCACGCGGAGACGCGCGAGACCGAGATGACGGCAACCGGGGAGGTGGCGTCAGGGTTGGCGGGAAGCCCTGGGCGGGACTGGGGTGGCCCCTGCGGTCTGGCCTGCTCCACCCGTCCCGGAGTGACAGAAATGCCCTCGGGCGCTTAAGAGGCCCAGGGCGCAGAGCCAGGGCAGCCCGCGCCCCGTCTCACTTCTTAGGCCCAAGAGGTGGCCACGCGTTTCCCCCATTTTGCAACTACTTCACGTGGGGCCCAGAGAGGGCCAGCCCCTCACTCAAAGCCACACAGGAACCAAGCCCTTCCCCGGGGCGTGGAGCCTCTCACTCCCGCCCAGGGGTCTTCACCGCACCAGGGCCCCCCCTCGGGGAGGAGCCTCCCGAGCCCCTCCTGCTCCCCGCCCCCGAGGGGCGGCCCGGGGGGCGGGCGGAGGAAGTGAGCGCAGCGGGGAGGAATGCGAGCGGGCGGGGCGCGCCGGCCCTGGGCGGCGGGGACAGCGGCGGGCGCGGCGGGGTCGAGCGCGCGCGATGCCGCACTTCACCGTGGTGCCGGTCGACGGGCCGCGACGCGGCGACTATGACAACCTCGAGGGGCTCAGTTGGGTGGACTACGGGGAGCGCGCCGAGCGGGAGGACCCGGACGGTGAGGGCGCGTCCGGAGGGGGCCTTGGCGGGCAGGGGGCCGGCGGCGCGGGCCCGCGCCCACACATGCTCCGGGACTTCGCGCTTTCCGGACGCTTTCCGCACGTCGATGCGGGCTGAACTTCTCCGCGTCTGCGCCGCCACCGCCAGCTCCCCCGCTCCGCGCGCGCAGACACGATATTTTCGGCCCCAGGCACCGAGGCCGGGCCGCCCTCCCCACTCTGCTCCTCCCCTGCGGGCCACAGGCGGGGGCTGCAGACGTGGCTGCCCAGGAAAGCCAGCCAGCTGGGCCGCGAGGCCCTACCTCGCTCGGCGCACAGCCAAATTCCCGACTCGAGCCCCGTCACCTTCTGTGAAGCCCCATCCTCTTGTCACCTCGGCTGCCCGTTTGGGATTCAGCGGCTCTGCCTCTGGGTCCTCCCCACCAGCTCCCTCCACGGGCCTCCCTGAACTCTGACCTGGGAGAGATCGGGGATGTGGACTCCGGAGATATGTAGGACCGTGGGCATCTGGGGAGCACTCATGCGGAGCCAGTCTTGTCTAGGCATTTTATGGGAATTGACTGGTTTAATCCTCCCAACCTCCCGGGTGGGATAAGTATTGTGGCTCCCACTTAGGGAGGAGGGAACTGAGGTGTGGAGGTTATGTAACTTGTCCCCAGGGCATTCAAACCCCGACCTGAGAGTAACTCTTAACCTAGGTGTTAGGGCTGGGCCTGGAGTTAGGCCCCTCTTTCCTTCCAGGTGCCTGGTGCTCCCAGGCCCCTTTCCCTGTCTCACCCCAGAAGGGACTGGGGAGTGCTCTCCTTCCCAGGGACATTTGTCTGTGTGTGGTGGCATATGCAGTTGTGCTTTGCATGTGCAAGTGTGTCATTGTGGGTATCAGAGGGTCCGGACTGGTCAGGTCAGGTCATGCTCATGGTCACTGTTTCCTGCAGGGTCGTCAGTGATGCGGATAGTGATATGAGATGCTTGTGATGCCTTTGGCTAACCATTATAGAGACATGTAGGAAATGTGTTGTGGTTATGTGTCAGGTGATGTGCTCTTGATATCTGATCTGTCTGTGATGGTGCTATGCCTGAAGTATGAGCCCTGTCTGGTGTGTGTATGTATGATGTGAGTATGCACGGATGATGCTGTATGTGGAGATGGCACAGGACAGTGGCATAGGCTGCTGGATGTCATGGAAGTTTTACAGGCTTGACAGTTGTTTGAGTGCCCTCCTCCCCCGTGCCCTTGTCTGCCCCTAGGCTTGTTCAAGTGGTCAAAGCAGGAGCCAGCATCCCTCCTGGTGTCATCCTGGGAGGCTCTCTCTCCCCATAGGCTGGGATGGGTTGCATCCCCAGGATTAGCCTGGAACAGTGGGCAGGCAGAGCTGAGCCAAGCCTCTGGCCCCGCCTTGGCCCCTCACAGGGTGACTGGAACGACCTGGAGCCACATGGCCTAAATCCATCCGGATCCCTTAGACCTGGCCAGCTCCTCCTCCACCCCTTTTCCTCCTCCTCCACCTCCTCTTCCTCTTCCTCCTCTTCTCACTTTTCACTAGACTTGGCTGAGTCTGCAGGATGGGGGACACCCTGCACCCTGGTGAGTGATTTTGATTCTTGGTAGGGGCTGTTAAAGGTCGGAGGGCACAAAAAAGTCAGCCTTGGGTTCATCTCCTAGAGCTTCCAGCTCAAGGCCCACACCTCTGGTCTGGAGGGTCATAGATGGACCTGTTCAGCTCTCTCAGGCCTGTGGGCAGGGGGTGGGGAGGTCTTGGAGGGGACATCAGGCAAATGTCCATGTGCACAAGGATTGGGAGGGTCACCTGAATCCCCCCTGCAAAGGTGGGTTCATAGTTGCCAGTGGGAACACTTTTATCTCTGTACCTCACAGGCAGCCCCCACTTCCAGGCCATGTTCAGGTTCACTGAGGGTCCCAGGTGGTGTGTGAGCCACTTTGGCTGGCAGGCATGCCCAGACCTGCACTGGAATTTTTGGAATAGCTGAGGCCTAGAAGGACAGCCCGAAGCTGAGGGCAGCACAGACATCCAGCCGCTTCTTAGACCTCCCCATGTTGCCACAATCCTGTGGGAGCTGTCCCTAAACGAGGCTTTGGGGAACTCAACAAGGAGTGCCTGCTGGGTGTCTGGCCACCAGATTGTCTCTTTTCTGATGCATCTGGGCAGTTGGGAGAGTATACTGTTTCTACTTCATACCACAGGAAACAAAGACAGCACAGAGACGGTCAGCAGGTTTCCCTGGACCAAGAAGGGCCAGGAGTCCAAGCTTGGCTGCCATAATCTAAACATTTAGAGGGTATGCATATCCTGGACCTCTGTGTTAAAGGGTCATGCTGTACCCGTGGTATATTCTGGATGGACTGAGGTCTTGAGTAGGAATAGGGAAGCTGTGGCTCAGCCCCCATCAGCCTCTGGTGGGCCCTAGGACCCAGGTCTGACCCCTCACTGGATGGCTTGCCTCAACCTCTCTGAGCTTGCTTCCTTGTCACTAAAAGGGGTTAAATGATGTCTATTGGGATGTTGCTTGAGAAGACCAGCAGCAACTTGTGGAATGGCCCTGAGCCACCCTAGAACAATGGCTGAAGGGACAAGGGGTCATCTGGGTCTTGCAGGACTGTCTGTGCTCAGCTTTACATTTGGTGGATACCAGTGCAGTGTCTCCAGAGAGACCAGGCGGCCATGGTAGGGTAAGCTGCAGTGTGTGAGATGAAAATAATTTATCATTTATTCCCACCCTGCTTCTACAAAAGGATCAGAAGAAAAAATATGCATTAGAAGTATTGTTGCTGACAGGATGACCAAAAACTATGCAGAGGGAAGGGGCAAAGATTCTGAGATGAGACAGATGGTGACTACATCTAATGAATAAATTTAGCTTGGAGGTTCCTGGCAGCCAAGGCAAAAGGAAAGTAGAAGAAGCTGTGTAGCTGCCGTTTCCTGACAAAATGAAGCGTGGGGTTTATTCAGGGGAGACACTTTTTTGTCCCAAAAACCCAAGAGTGATTTTCAGAGACTTCTCACTGAAAGATCATCACTGTAATGGACAGTGCTCCTGGGTTTTCAGATTTTCCTTGTAACTTCCTTATTCTGATCCTGAACACGCATGCAGGGCACTGCAAATGTGGTAGGGTGTCTGAGGAGCTGTATCATCCTGCTGGGCTTTTAATTTACTTGGTGAGCTGACTTGATCCCTACCACTTTGGTTCACTTTGTCATTGGCCTTGACCTCAGGCAGTCAGTGAGTGTGGGACTGAGCAAGGCTCACTTAGCAAGTCTAGGATGCTGGATAAGGCAGATAAACCAATTTCACTTACTGTGGGAAGAACTGACTGTCCCAGGAATTGTCATGGGTAGTGCACTTACCTCTCAGTCTCCTCGGGTGATAAAGAATCCATGATGAGCATCTGCTGACTGGTTGTTGGCTCAGAGAAAGTAATTTGAACCTCATGCTGATAGCAAGAGGATGTATCAGGTGGAGGAGGAGGGGGCATCAGCATTCTCAGCAAGAGAAATGAAATGTGACCCATTCAAACAGAAAAGGTTGGCGGGCATGGCCAGCGCGTGGCTCAATCACACCACTCCTCTGGATTGGTGATAGCGCTTCTGCTGCCACCTCCATCATATGTCACCGTGCCAGCCCTTCTGCTGCCAACACTGCACGAACCAAGGCGTTATCTTTGAACAAACACATACTCTTTCCATTTATTGTGAAGCCTTGAGCCACTGCTGCAGCTGCACTGTGGGTTGCAGCAAGTAGGGCTCCGCGTCTTCTACCTGCTTTGTGGGAAACTGGGGACGTAACCCTTGGAGGTGCAGGAGGAGCAAAGTTGCCAGACGGAAGAACGTGAATGATGTGAGACCAGGAAAGGCAGCGAAGCTCTGGAAGTTGAGGCAGGCATAACAAACAGGAGCATCTGGCTCCTTCCAGTGAGGTTTCCTCAGCTCGAGGCAGTCTCACCTGCCTCCAGTCGGATGGGGGGAGGAGGCTGTAGCAGGCCTGCGCCTGATCTGGGGCAAGTAGCCAGGATCTGGGGGCAAGGAGCTCAGTGCCCTGCTCCTTGCCATCAGCCCTAGCTCCTGTTCTTCATCCCTTCTCAATCCAACGCCTACTGAGCCAGGCTTTCACAGACAGCCTTGGAAGGCCCCTTGCGCCCACTTTCCTGAGCGTTGTCCTCGGCTTGCCCCGCCTCCCAGGATGCCGCGGGCGGCCCTCCGGGACACATCAGCGTGATGCATGATGGGGTAGCTAGCAGGCCATCTGCTGGCCATGGCGGCCAAGGCGCGCTGTGTGGCTTCATCTATCTAGAGGGCAGTAGCTGTGCGGTCCCTCAGGACCCTGAGCTCTGGGCACTGGATACTCAAGATAGACCCAGAAAGAGTCTGGTTGACCCAGAAAGAGTCTGGTCGATCCGAGGGCGGGCAGGGCCTGGCCACGCCCCTCCCGCAGGCCCCACCCCTCGGTGTGCGCGTGTTTGTGCTGCTGTGTCTTGGCTCCCACCTGTGCCCTGTGCTGCAGGGAATGATGTTTCGGGTTTTGACTATTGGCTGCTGCCCTGTTATGTTTGCTCCTTGAAGGAGTTAGGGTGTGGTGGGGAGAACTGGGACTCAGACTCCTGACACGGTGACTCCCAACGTGCACTGCAGGAATGCTTTGGGGGCCGGCCTTCTGGGGAGTGGTACAGACTGGGGGTTCAGGGAGCAGCCCCTAACCCTGATTCCGTCCCTCTCTCTCTTCACAGGACATGGCAACCACAGAGAGAGCAGCCCTTTTCTCTGCCCTTTGGAGGCTTCCAGAGGAAGTGACTACTATGACAGGAACCTGGCACTGTTCGAGGTAGCTGAGGGGCCACAGGGGTGGCAGGCAGCCGGCATGGTTCTATCTCCTGTGTCTTGGCTTCTCCTACAGGCTCCTCTCTGCTCGCTCCCTTGCAGCCAGCCTGGCTGTGGTATCTGTGGCCCTTTGAGCTGAAATGCTTTCCCAGGCACTGCTCACAACCCCACCCCCATTGCCACCTGCAGGGCTCCTCACCTTTGTCTTCCTTGCACAAAGGCCACTACCCTTAGGGATTCCCTCCAGTTGTGCTCTCTCCTCTGCTCCTAGGACACCTGCCTGTGGTTCTGTCTCCCAGGGGCTTTGACCTCTGTTTGTGCTTCCCATCCATCCCCCGCACCCACTCAGTTCAGTTGCCTGGTCCCCTTTTTTTTTTTTTTTTTTTAAGATTTATTTATTTATTTGAAAGTCAGAGTTACACACAGAGAGAAGGAGAGGCAGAGAGAGAGAGAGAGAGAGAGAGAGAGAGGGAGAGGTGTTCCATCTGCTGGTTCACTCCTCAATTGGCCATAATGGCCAGAGCTGTGCCGATCCAAAGCCAGGGGCCAGGAGCTTCCTCTGTGTCTCCCACGCGGGTTCAGGGGCCCAAGGACTTGGGCCATCCTGCACTGCTTTCCCAGGCCATAGCAGAGAGCTGGATCAGAAGTGGAGCAACTGGGACCAGTGCCCATATGGGATGCGGCAGTGCAGGCGGCGGCTTTACCCACTATACCACAGCACTGGTCCCTGATGCCTGGTCTTTCTACTGGATCTGTCCCCTCTCTTTATGTCTGCAGCCTCAGTGACCACCTCTCTGGAAAGTTTCCCAGTTTTGTGCCCCTAAACTTGAATTTTACCTTTCCTAGATTCAAGCTGAGAAGTGAGATCTGGATTTAAGACATGGGTTAGACTCCTGAGCCACACATGCCCCATGGCTAAATAATCCCTCTCTCTCTCTCTGAGTGTGACGATGAAGCAATGGCAGTAACCCAAGGAAGAAGTGCTAAGAGGGACGGCAGACAGGATTAGACAGTGAGAGGGAGAGACAGAGAGCAAGGTCTTCCTTTTTCCATTGGTTCACCCCCCCAAATGGCCACCATGGCCAGCGCACTGCAGCCGGAGCGCTGCGCTGATCCGAAGCCAGGAGCCAGGTGCTTCCTCTTGGTCTTCCATGAAGGTGCAGGGCCCAAGCACTTGGGCCATCCTCCACTGCCTTCCTGGGCCACAGCAGAGAGCTGGACTGGAAGAGGAAGAACCGGGACAGAATCCAGTGCCCCAGCCGGGTACTAGAACCTGGTGTGCCGGCGCTGCAGGTGGAGGATTAGCCTAGTGAGCCGTGGCGCCAGCCTAAAGGGCCTCTCCACTTCTCACTTCAAACTAACTTCTCCCTGTTTTTAGGATCAGAAAGGATCTAACGGACAGGAAAATACTAAATATGCCCAAGAGCCAGGTGAATGTGTGACCCTGAGGACAGCCCAGGGGCAGGGGGAACCTAGACCCTCGTGGGGGTTGGGGAGCCTGAGCTAGGGGAGGCCTCCTGACCTGGGAAAGAGCAAGATCCTAAAGTGAAGACCTCGATCTGGCCCCACCTGAGGGTGTGCTGGGCTCAGGATCCCACCTCAAAGACTAAAGGACGGGAGACTAAGGGAAGGTGATGTGGGAAGACCAGGGTTTGGGCAGACAAGAGACTTGTCCCAGACATCCTTCTTTTGCCTGCGTTGGTTCCCTGTGGTGATAAGGGTGGAGACCCAGCCATGGCTGGGAGATGGCCAAGCAGAGCAACAGGATGGAGCATGCTGTTGGCTTGCCTGCCAGCTGTGCCCTGCCTGCTCCTCTCCCCTGAAGCAGGTAGTTTTCACAACCCGGCGGCAGTCATTAAAGCCAAGGTGGGGCAGAGAAAAAGCAGCCCTGGGCTTGGCCTTGAGAACTAAGTGCTGGGGTGTGACGCCTACACCTGCCCAGTTGGCTGGCTTGGGCTTCCCCAGGCAAGAGCTGGGATCAGGCCCAGGCCTGCCTCAGGGCTTGGCCTGGGGCCAGGGGCCAGGCGGCTGGCTAAACACAGGTAGCCTGGCACCTCCTGGCCCATTGCCACCCTGCCCCGTGGCTCTGTTTACAGGAAGAGCTGGACATCCGCCCAAAGGTGTCATCTCTTCTGGGCAAGCTTGTCAGCTACACCAACCTCACCCAGGGAGCCAAGGAACACGAGGAGGCTGAGAGTGGGGAGGGGACCCGCCGGAGAGCAGCCAAGGTGAGCTGGTTGGGGGCATAGAACACTATGGAACGGGCCATTCCCCTACCTCTGCTGCCACCCCCACAGTGGTGAACCCCTCAGAGTCAGCATGGAGTGCCTTGGGCTTAAGGAAGCTGTAGGGATAGACTCAGGGAGGAGCTCTTCAGGGGGGCAGAGGGCCAGGAGCCCAGAAGTGACAATGAGAGTGACAGCGGCCTTTACTCAGCCTTCGCTGTGAGAGCACCTGCTAAGCACTGGGCCTGGTTTTTTCTGCCAGCCCACCACAGAGCTGTGAGGCAGGTGCTGTTAGCCCTACTTCTCAGTTGAGGAAGCACAGCATTTGAGGTATTAAGTAACTTGCCTGAGCTGAACCAGCTAGACAACATCAGTGCATAACGCTGGGAGACAGACTTTTGGCTCTATTGTGAAATATGCCGGATCCTTGGCTTCCCATTGGGATGGATAAGGTTGTCCCTCGAGGGCTATGCAACCTAGAGCAACTATAAACCCTCCTCTGTTGGTCCAGGGCTCCGCTGGGGGCAAGATGTGTATGTGTGATTGCAGCCTTACACTGCTTCGTGAGGGTTCCCTCTCCCTCTGTCAGTCCCATTGCCTGGTCACCACCTAGGCCTCTGGCCCTTCATCCCTCCTCTCTTTGGGGGATGACTTTTTTTTTTTTTTTTTTTTTTTTTTTTTAAATTTGCGTGTAGTTCCTTCACATAGACCTAAGACAAAGTCCAGTAAGTAAAGCAAAACCATGGAGTTACTCTCTAAGGCGTTTCCAACCATGAGTGGCTACAGGAAAACCCCGTCAGGATAGGTCTCAGCCTGGGGATGACTTTCACATCTTTGTTCAGCTCCTCTACATGGTGGGACTCAGATTTACCAAGGGCTGGTGTGTGGTTTTTTTTTTTTTTTTTTTTTTTTGACAGGCAGAGTGGACAGTGAGAGAGAGAGAGACAGAGAAAGGTCTTCCTTTGCCGTTGGTTCACCCTCCAATGGCTGCTGCAGCCAGTGCACTGCAGCTGGCACACCGCACTGATCCGATGGCAGGAGCCAGGTGTTTCTCCTGGTATCCCATGCGGGTGCAGGGCCCAAGCACTTGAGCCATCCTCCACTGCACTCCTGGGCCACAGCAGAGAGCTGGCCTGGAAGAGGGGCAACCAGGACAGAATCCAGCACCCCGACCAGGACTAGAACCCGGTGTGCTGGCACCGCAAGGTGGAGGATTAGCCTATTGAGCCGTGGTGCCGAGGGCTGGGTATTTTCTTCTACAGTTTTAAGGGACAGTCCCCTCTACCTCCTGCCTCCTTGAGGTTTGAGAAACACCTGTGTTTTAGAAGGAACTGGGTCCTAGCACTGGCTGTAGGATTCTTTTTAGAGATCAACACAGAGAGTGCTCCAGGTTGGGATAAACTGGGTCTCCAGCCAAGGCCTGCTCATAAGATTTGGGCCTTGCTGGGGTGTGCCTGAGAGAAGGAACCAAACTAAAGTGTAGCCCTCACCTTGCCTTTCTGGTAAGCAAACCACCCACTCTTCAGAGGGTGTAGCTGATATCCTGAGGTTGCACAGACCTGGCCCCCTACCCTATCCAGCTGATCATAGTTTTGCTGGAATATTCTGGGCTGAAGATAGCAGAAAACCTTGACTGTCTGGCTGTCCCTATCCAGCCTTGCAGTAGGGGTCTCAGCTTCAGAGAGTGTCGTCTGCAGTGACTGGTACGATCCTCGTGTAAGAGCCCCTTCCCTGTCCCTTTAAGCCAAGCCAGAGCGCGGGTGACTGGGAGTGAAAAGGCCCCAGGAAGGGCTGGTGTGCATCTTAGCAGCAGCGTGGGGAGAAAGCCTAGATGGTGAGGGGCCATGGGCCCTTGCCTAATGGGGAGCCTAATGGAGAGGATGCTGGGGTCTAGCCTCTCCACAGTGCTCCTAGCTCTAGGGTAAGGATGTGAGAGGGTGGCCCAGGTTCAGTGGCTTTTCCATGGAAGAAGGAGGAGCCTAGAGAAGTCAACAGGGAGTCAAGAGGAAGCAGAGGAGCTGGGGTCCTCTCCTAGCGAGACTTTGAGCAGGGCCCTCAGAAAAGGAAGGCTTGAAGCATGAAGGGCGGGCCCCCAACAAAACCATGCCAGCAACCCAAGGCAGCTCTCTGCCGGCCGCCGCAGCTCTGGCCCGCTGACCTTCTGAGGCTGCCAGGGGTTATTTGGGGATGCAGCAAGCATTTCCGGCCCTGCCCTTTCCCACACTGCCCTTTTCTTGGAGTGACTCAGCCTAGGATGGGGGTGGGACGGGGAGCTCTTGCTGCCACTGTCCGGTGGGTAGTGCCCTCTGCGAAGGGCTCGGACAAAGGCTGTCACGGGCAGTGCGCTGCGTGGTGTGGTTTGGGGAAGTGTCTGCTCGTGGCCGGCCCTCTGAGGTCTGTTAGGCTGCACACGCATCCTGCTCTGGGCCCAGACCCTTCAGAAGGTTCTCTCCCACCCCAGCTCCAGGGCAGCTCCAGTGGGAGCTCTCGGCCCGACTGCCCTGGACTGCATTCTGGAGGGCTCAGTTGTTTAAAAAGGTGCCAGCCCTACCGGTGTGCTCCCAGGCCTTGGCTGGTTGGGAAATCCTGCCTGAATCTGCACATTAGGCCTTCCTCGCCTGTTGCACAGCCTGAGGCTCTACTTTCTTTAGGATCCCCCTACAGGATGTCCCAGGGGGCTCCAAGGTGCCTCTCACTGGCATCAGAAACACTTTTTTTTTTTTTAATTTATTTATTTACTTGAAAGTCAGAGTTACATAGAGAGAAGGAGAGGCAGAGAGAGGTCTTCCATCTGCTGATTCACTTTCCAGTTGGCGGCAGTGGCCAGAGCTGTGCTGTTCTGAAGCCAGGAGCTTCTTTGGGGTCTCTCACATGGGTGCAGGGGCCCAAGGACTTGGGCCATCTTCCACTGATTTCCCAGGCCATAACAGAGAGTTGGATCGGAAGTGGAGCAGCCAGGACTTGAACCGGCTCCCATATGGGCTGCCAGCACTGCAGGTGGTGGCTTTACCCTCTACACCACAGCACTGGCCCCAGGAACACCTTTACACCTTAGATCAGGTGCTAAGGGAATGCGAGAGGGAGAACCGGTTCTACCTAAGGCATCCCAGGGAATTTCCTAGAAGGGGTAGCAATTAAACCTCCTGAAGGCTTCTCTGAAGCACAAGGAGGCAGGGCCAGCCCTCCCAGATTCAGAGGCCCTGAGGGAGCCATGTGATAAGAGGCTGGGGCTGACAAGGGAGGTAATGGGGTGTAACTGGTAGCCCAAGCCAAGGAGTCTGGACTACTCACACTTTGGATTACCGGGCAATGCAGAGGGTTTTCAGTGTAGATGAGACTGGACATGGTTCCCAGAGACCTGTGCTGGCAGCAGAGTAGGCTGGAGCATGGAGAGATTGACAGACACAGGAGGGTACCAGCTTGGGGTCCCAGGCTCAAGGGATGAAGACTGGAACAAGGCAGGCTGAGCACGACTCAGTGTCTACCTGGATTGGAGTTGGAGGGTGGAGAGGAGGACCAGGGATAACTTGCTAGGCTTGGACTTGAGTGACTTGGGGCCTGCTAGATCAGAAGAGAAGGGACGATCTTGAGACAAACTCCTTTTCAGAGTTTGACCAGATAAAAAAGGGACAGAGGAGGTACATTAATCCAGATTGTTCTAATGCTCAGTATGCATCCCCCCACCTGCTCATACAGGCACCCAGCATGGGCACCCTCATGGGGGTGTACCTGCCCTGCCTACAGAACATTTTTGGGGTCATCCTTTTCCTGCGGCTGACCTGGATGGTGGGCACGGCCGGTGTGCTGCAGGCCCTCCTCATCGTGCTCATCTGCTGCTGCTGCGTGAGTGTCCGGCGGGGGCATGGGTGGGCGGGGCATCCTGTGGCCACCCAGCTGCTCACCCAGGCCCTCCCGCTCGCAGACGCTGCTGACGGCCATCTCCATGAGTGCCATCGCCACCAATGGGGTGGTTCCAGGTGGGTGAGCACCATGCCAGGCCTGGTGGGGGGAATGGAACCCAGAACCCACCTTGACTTGCCTGTCCCTGCCCATTCAGTTCTCTGGTAGGGTCCTAGTTCCTGACTGCAAAGGGGTGTTTCTCTTTGTTAGTATAAAATTAACACACACACCCCACCCTACCCCCACCCCAAAGGGGCCATGTGTGTTTATCATAAAAGGATTTCAAAGGGCAAAACATGTAGAATGGAAAACTGAAAATACTTGTAATCCCACCATCCTGAGTTTACTACTGTTAGCCTTTTGGTATATGGTTATAGGGTTTTGTAAAATATTGACATAAATCTCTTTATGTTTAGTCATGTGTTGCTTCATGATGAGACATTTATTGTTAGCCATAGTCATGTGAACATCAGTATACTTACACAAACTAACATGGCTACAACGTCACCACATGGTGCAATCTTATGGAACCACTGTTGTGTGTTTGGTCCGTCATTGAACAAAATATTGTTATGCAGCACTTGAATGTATATATTTTTATATTTCCCAAAATGTGTGTGTAGACATATGTACGTATATAATTTGTATGTGTGTGCTTCCCAAATGTTGTAAATGTTTTGTTTTAATAGGATTCTCCATGGTGGTATGTATACTGCCTAATGTATGTGATTATTCCATCCGTGGGTTCTGCTTTCTCACTATTACAAACACTGTTGTCATGACCAGCTTTGAACACAGAACTCTGTCATGCCCTGCGCGTCCCCATAGAAGAGGGTCCTGGAGGTGGAATTATATCATGAAAGGGATTCACTTTTTTTGTTTAAGTTTCTTGATCCCCATCTCCAGATGTCCATGAAAGGTACCTGATCAGCATTAGGCACAGTCAGCACCACGGGCTCGTTGTCATCCCCTTCTCCTTTGCCACCTGGGACTTGGTGTTCATTCTGTCAGTCCTCCCAGACTCTGCTAGAAGCACACAGTTGGGGCAGGAGGGTCAGCCATGGACACTTACCTGGTAACAAGCTGTGTAATAGGGGCAAGAAACTGGGCCAGACACAGTCCCTGGATTGGCACGGAGGCACAAGCCTGGGACGAGGGTGGAATGTGTCAAGATAGGACATACCCAGACAGAGGCTGTGCAGCTTGAAGGACAGTGGGCCGTTCAGCAGCTGCTGGGGACCCAGGGCTGCCCAGCAGAGTAGTCATTTCCCTGGCCTGTACTGAGCGTTAGTCAGATGGAAGTTGGGTCCAACCCCAGCATTAACTGTGTGGCCTTGAGCAGGCTCCAGTCCTCTGGGTGGGTGGGAGGGTTTGTCATGGGGGAACCCCCAGGAAGAACCAGCCTCATCCTGTGCACACTTTCTTTGCCGTAGCTGGCGGCTCCTATTTCATGATCTCCCGCTCGCTGGGGCCGGAGTTTGGAGGTGCCGTAGGCCTGTGCTTCTACCTGGGAACGACATTTGCAGCGGCCATGTACATCCTCGGGGCCATCGAGATCCTGCTGGTGAGTCAGGCTAAGCCCTAGTCAGCCTGAGTCATGTCCAGGTGGTCCCTCTGGACTCCACTCAGAAGCCAGCTCTTCATGCTTCTCTCACCCCTGGCCAGGGTCTGGGTGTTAGGAAGTGGGAACCTCCTCGAGGGAGAGCGGCCGTTGCTCAGACCAGTCTCGCCTTCACCCCTGGGCCGGTTTGGACCCAGGAAAGGAGCCTTCTTCCCCTTGGGCCTGGGTGTTTCATCTGCCGGGCACGCTTCAGCCATGGCCTGCAGCCTGTGAACTGCTGGGTTTATTTAGCTCAGTGACAGGTCTTGGTGGATGCAGAGGCTTCTTGCCGGTTTGTGTGGGTTCTGGCCAGCTCTGTCTCTCCCAGGGCTCTGTGCTAGGGCCTCACAGAGCCATCTCCGTATCCCTAAATCAGGACCCTGACAGTGTTCTCTCCTACCTTGTAAACCCCTGAGTCCCCTCTCAGACTCAGCTTCCCACTCTCCCACTGAACTGCCCCCCTGCAGAAGAGGTGGAGGGGCTGTGGGGAGCACAGGGTGACAGGTGCCCACTCTGGGGGATCCAGGGAGGAGGAGATATTTGGAGGGACCACCTGGCTTTCCCTTCCTCTGAGTCCTCTGCCTACAGTATGGTCACTGTGCCTGGCTCTGAGAATTTGTTTTTTTGTTTTCAAGCTCTCATATTCCTTCTACATTTGTTATTTGTAATTCTTCTGTAAGGAAAATTTGTCCCTTTCCCCATTTATTTATTTATTCAGCCATGTGATTATATCACTGTGGACTTGAAGATATTTATTCTGTTCTTGATCATAATCCAGTATTGTCCTTGTTTATTTTGTTGCCTGGATTGTTCCACTTTGGCTGCTTAGCTATTCAACTTGGTACCTCTGTCTAGATCTTTTTTTTTTCCCCTTGGGTTTTAAAAATGATATATTTTTTCTTTTTTTTTTGTTTTTGTTTTTTGTTTGTTTGTTTGTTTTTGTTTTTTGTTTTTTTGACAGGCAGAGTGGACAGTGAGAGAGAGAGAGTCAGAGAGAAAGGTCTTCCTTTGCCGTTGGTTCACCCTCCAATGGCCGCTGTGGCTGGTGCATGGCGCTGATCTGATGGCAGGAGCCAGGTACTTATCCTGGTCTCCCATGGGTGCAGGGCCCAAGGACCTGGGCCATCCTCCACTGCACTCCCTGGCCACAGCAGAGAGCTGGCCTGGAAGAGGGGCAACCGGGACAGAATCTGGCGCCTCAACTGGGACTAGAACCCAGTGTGCCAGTGCTGCAAGGCGGAGGATTAGCCTAGTGAGCACGGCGCCGGCTGAAAATGATATTTTTTTAAAAATCATTTCATTTTCTTATTTGAAAGGGAGAGTAACAGAGGGAGAGAGAAATTTTCTATTTGCTGGTTCACTCCCCAAATGCCTACAACAACCAGGGCTGGACCAGACCGGAGCCAGGAACCTGGAACTCCATCTAGATCTCCCTCATGGGTCACAGGGGCCATCATCCACTGCCTTCCCAGGCTCATTAGCAGGAAGGTGGATGGGAAACAGAGCAACTGGGACTGGAATCGGCATTCTGATATCGTACTGTGGGTGTCCTAAGTGGCTGCTTAACCCCTTGTACCACACCCAAGCCCTAAAATTACAGTTTTACTAAGAAACCATACAGTTCACTGCCCATGGGAAGTGTGCAATTTGTGGGTTTTAGTGAATTCACAGAGTTGTGTAGCCATTACCCCCAAAAGAAACGCCGTTGGTAGTCAATCTCCATCCTCCCAGCCCTGGGCAACCACTAATCTGCTCTCTGTATGGATTTGCCTCTTTTAGATGTTTCATATAAACTGAATCATATAGTTTATAGTCTTCTGTGACCGGCTTCTTCTAGTTAGGTTTTTGAAAAGAAAACCAAAATGACAGGTTTCACTCTCCAAATGGGAAGGTTGAAGGTCCTCTGTCCATCTTTTTCTCTCAGACCTACATTGCCCCGCCGGCCGCCATTTTTTACCCATCTGGCACTCACGACACGTCGAATGCCACCCTGAACAACATGCGGGTGTATGGGACCGTTTTTCTGAGCTTCATGACCCTGGTGGTGTTTGTGGGTGTCAAGTATGTGAACAAATTTGCCTCGCTGTTCCTGGCCTGTGTGATCATCTCTATCCTCTCCATCTATGCCGGGGGCATCAAGTCGATGTTTGACCCTCCTGTGTTTCCGTAAGTAACTCGGGGATTTGTCCAGGCATTGACATTCTTCTCAGAAAGACAGCCTTTGGATGTCGTGGGTCCTGGGGACTGAAAGTTGGGAACAGGCTGAGGCCTGCAGCTGAGCTGTGAGGACTCTTCCATCCCCCACAGGGTTTGCATGCTGGGCAACAGAACGCTGTCCCGGGACCAGTTTGACATCTGTGCCAAGACGACCATGGTAGATAATGAGACCGTGGCCACTCGGTTATGGAGCTTCTTCTGCCACAGCCCCAACCTTACCACCGACTCCTGCGATCCCTACTTTCTCCTCAACAATGTGACTGAGATCCCTGGCATTCCCGGGGCAGCTGCTGGCGTGCTCCAGGGTGCGTCCTCCCTCCCGTCCTCCTGCTCCTGCATGCGCAGGCTGAGCGGGAGAGCAGAGCACAGAGCTCTCCCTGTGTGGCCAGCTCAGCAATGGGGGGTCGGCCTGGCTGCCTCCCTGGCCCAGCAGGATCCTCTCAGCCTGGCTCCTGGCAGTCTGGTTTTGGGTGAGAAGAGCCTGTTTGGCCACTGTCTCAGTATAGCAGCAGCCCCAGAAAGTTCTGGAAGTCCCTCTGCCACCAGCACCTGACACTGCCTGGGGATGCTCCCACAGGAACCCTAAAGGGCCGCTGGGAGGCAGACAGTGGAGGGGTCGAACTGATGGCAGTTCAGCCACCTTTGTCTTTCACCCTTAGCCTGATGGTACCTTCCCCATGACTGACACTGCAGCCCCTGGGCTGAGGCTGTCCAAGGAGTGCACAGAGTTTCCCAGGGGTCTACAGCTCTGCCTGGGGCACTCAGACTGCCCCCAGGGGGGTGGGTGAGGCTGTGGTGGTGATGCTTCTGCCCTTGCAGAAAACCTGTGGAGCGCCTACCTGGAGAAGGGCGAGGTGGTAGAGAAGCGGGGGCTGCCCTCCACGGACGCCGTGGGCCTGAAGGAAAACTTGCCCCTGTACGTGGTGGCTGACATCGCCACATCCTTCACCGTGCTGGTTGGCATCTTCTTCCCTTCTGTAACAGGTGAGCCCCTCTTGCCCACCATCCTGTCCTGCCCCTCACCCCAGGGAGCCCCAGGAGAGACGCTCTGGCCCGGTTTTGCAGGCATCATGGCTGGCTCTAACCGCTCTGGGGACCTCCGTGATGCCCAGAAGTCCATCCCGGTGGGAACCATCCTGGCCATCGTTACAACCTCCCTTGTGTGTATCCTTTCCCAAGCCCAGGGGAGGTGGGGCCAGGACCAGGTGGCACTTGCCTGTGTGGTCTCCAGCCAGCAGGCACAGACACATGCAGGTGCAGGCACTTTACACACGTGCACACGCCTGAGGGCTCGCGGAACCCTAGCTGTGTGCAGGCTGAGCCAGGGCGAGGGGCATGAGGGACCTGCACAGGGGTAGTGGGGCGGCTGTGCCCAGGACTCCAGCTTTCCTTGACGCAGCTGCAGACTTCAGCAGTGTGGTTCTGTTCGGAGCCTGCATTGAGGGTGTGGTTCTCAGGGACAAGTGAGTGGGCTCAGCCTTTGCCCTCACACCAGCCCCCGACCCTCCCTCTCCCTACCCCGTGGTTCCACCCTTGTCCTCAGGCTGCTGGTCTATGGCATTAGGGTACTCAGGCCCCTCCGGGACTTTAGCTTCTGAAATGATGGTGAGCTCAGGATCAGGGCCAAGGGAAGGATAGGGCTGGCAGACGAGCTTTCTCTGAGGGGCCAGAGGGCTGGTCCCTCACAGTCATCCTTCTGCCCTCTGGCATTCCTCCGTGTGGGCAGCCCCAGCCAGGGTTGGGGGGCCCCCAGTGGGGAGCACAACCTGAGCCTGGCCCCTGCAGGTATGGTGACGGCGTCAGCAGGAACCTGGTGGTAGGCACGCTGGCCTGGCCTTCGCCCTGGGTCATCGTTGTTGGCTCCTTCTTCTCAACTTGTGGTGCTGGCCTGCAGAGCCTCACTGGAGCACCCCGCCTGTTGCAGGCCATTGCCAAGGACAACATCATCCCCTTCCTCCGGGTGAGCCCTTCTGCACTTGATGACCCCAGCCCCTCACATTGTCTGGGGAAAGAGAGTCCAGATGTTGCACAGCTTGCCCACAGCAGCCCCAGGGCCAGGCATGCCATGGGAGCACCTGAGAGCTGCCCTGACCTTGGCCTTGCTGTTGTCAGAGCTGCCTGGACCTAAAATCCTTATGGCCTAAGGCTCATCCAAAGCAGAGAGGCCTGGAAAGGTGAACTCAGCCAATGTATAATCCCTTCATGGCTAGGCATGGGTGTGGCCTGGGCCTCAGAGGAGGGGTCTGGGGATACTGGAGGCCAGGCTGCGCCTTGAGGCCTCAGGGGTGGGATGGGGTGATAGGAGCAGCTTCTTTCCTACAGGTGTTTGGCCATGGGAAAGCAAATGGTGAGCCGACGTGGGCACTCCTCCTGACTGCACTGATCGCCGAGCTGGGCATCCTCATTGCCTCCCTCGACATGGTGGCCCCCATTCTATCCATGTGAGCGGGGGGCCAGGGTAGGACAGGGGACTGGCCTTGAGAAAGACTTCCTGAAACCCAATACCCCTCAGCCAGGGGCTCTAACACCTGCCCCCAGACTCTAGTGTTGAGAGTGCCGGTGGGAGATGTGTCACCTTATCGCATCCTCCTGCTGATAGCCCTTGATGGGAGTAACCCTCTGAACCCACACGGGGCAGGCCTGTGACATGTTCCAGTTTCTGGTCCAGCTCCAGCCTGACACCAGGGACCTGGAGGTACCAAGGAGGCTGCATTGTGCCAACCAGTTGCCTGTGCTGCAGGTTCTTTCTGATGTGTTACCTGTTTGTGAACCTGGCCTGTGCTGTGCAGACGCTCCTTCGGACCCCCAACTGGCGGCCCCGGTTCAAGTACTATCACTGGTGAGAGCCAGCTGGACGCCTAAGCTGAGCCCCTGGTATGCGAGGCCTGGAGACAGGCGGAGCCCCATTCGGGATGAGTTTCTCGGACAGCAGTTGCTCTCAGAGAAACACTGTAGGAAGCAGACGGTGGGGCTAGGGGACTTGACCTGTTTCTTCAACCTGGCATATGACCCAGGTCCTGACAGGGGACCCAGGGCATGGGTGGGCTGTGGCCTGCAGCCCTCCTCGTCTGGCCCTGATTCTACCCCTCCCCCGACCCAGGGCGCTCTCCTTCCTGGGCATGAGCCTCTGTCTGGCCCTCATGTTTGTCTCCTCCTGGTACTACGCCCTGGTTGCCATGCTCATCGCAGGCATGATCTACAAGTACATTGAGTACCAAGGGTGAGTGAGGGCTGCTGCCTGGGCTTCTCTCAACAACCTGTGTGGCCTGCTCGAGCGAGCGGGGTGATCTGAGTGTTGGGTTGCGGGGGAGCTGGGCCATCCTTTGCTAGCCACCAGGGGTGCTAGGACTTGGAGCCTGCCACTCAGGGCCCAGCCCCCCTCCATCCCACATTCACATAGAAATCCCTGAGTGGCACCGAGGCTCACCAGCTTGTGGCATCTGCAGGGCTGAGAAAGAGTGGGGTGACGGGATCCGAGGCCTGTCCCTGAGCGCTGCCCGCTATGCACTGCTGCGCCTGGAGGAGGGGCCTCCTCACACCAAGAACTGGCGGTGAGTTCATGCTCAGACCAGCAAGGGCCACCTTTAGGTTCTTTGGGGTGCTGGGAGGGTCAGGAGGTGCTGGCTCCTCCTCCCTAATCCAGGTTCCCCATCTTGGGATTTCTAGGGGTACCCTCTTGCTTCTGGGGGCCATGATCCAAGAAGGCAGGGCAAGGAGGGGTTCTCTGGAGAGGCCTGGCCCCGGCCTCAGGCTGTCTCCCTTCTGCCCCCAGGCCGCAGCTCCTGGTGCTGCTGAAGCTGGACGAGGACCTGCACGTGAAGTACCCACGGCTCCTCACCTTCGCCTCCCAGCTTAAGGCTGGCAAGGGCCTGACAATTGTTGGTTCTGTCATCCAGGGCAGCTTCTTGGAGAGCTACGGCGAGGCCCAGGCTGCTGAGCAGGTACTTACTGTCAGGGAGAAGGCAGGGCTGAGGCTGAGGGAGGGAGCTGATCCTGATCAGTCAGGTGGGCAGCACTGTTACCACCCAAGAGCTGGGACAAGGCAGGTGGAGCTGTGGCTTCTGGGTGGGCAGCTTGGCCCTGGACCCTGCCCTGTCCCCAAGTAGCTTCGCACCCGAGGGGCCTGAGGAGGGAGCCCGACACAGAGACGGCCAGTGGCCCTGCCTTCTGACGCCGGTGTGTTCCCCACAGACAATCAAGAACATGATGGAGATTGAGAAGGTGAAGGGCTTCTGCCAGGTAGTGGTGGCCAGCAAGGTGCGTGAGGGGCTGGCCCACCTCATCCAGTCTTGCGGCCTGGGCGGCATGAGGCATAACTCCGTGGTGCTGGGCTGGCCCTATGGCTGGCGACAGAGTGAGGACCCACGGGCCTGGAAGACCTTCATTGGTATGTGAGGGGCCTGCACCTGGGATGGGCCAGGTGGGCCAGTGGTCAAGTGAAGTAGAGGCTGCAGGGCCCCAGCTGGTGGTCAGCAATGCCCCTCCCCCCCAGACACCGTGCGCTGCACCACGGCTGCACACCTGGCCCTGCTCGTCCCCAAGAACATCGCCTTCTACCCCAGCAACCATGAACGCTACCTGGAGGGCCACATTGACGTGTGGTGGATTGTTCATGACGGCGGCATGCTCATGCTTTTGCCCTTCCTGCTGCGCCAGCACAAGGTAGGCCAGGGAGGTAGGCGCAGGGGAGAGGCTGGGCCCTTGGAGTGCGGCTGTGCCTGGGCCGCTCACCTGCTCCACTGCCCCAGGTCTGGAGGAAGTGCCGGATGCGCATCTTCACAGTGGCCCAGATGGACGACAACAGCATCCAGATGAAGAAAGATCTGGCTGTCTTCCTGTATCACCTACGCCTGGAGGCAGAGGTGGAGGTGGTGGAGATGGTGAGCCACCTGGCCCCACCTGGCCCTGTGGATACTGTGCTCTGTCCAGCCCGGTCCTCACAGCCTCCCTCCTCCCCAGCATAACAGCGACATCTCTGCATATACCTACGAGCGCACGCTGATGATGGAACAGCGGTCCCAGATGCTGCGGCAGATGAGGCTGACCAAGACTGAGAGGGAGCGAGAAGTCAGTGGCCTTGGTGAAGTCCGGGCGGGTGGCAGGGGCAGGCCCTTGGAGATTCCATCAGGTGGGGGCATCAGAACGACGGACCCCAGCCCCACCCAAACCAGTGCCCATTTACCTGAGCCAAGGAGGTCATGCTGGGCCAGGCAGGTACCCCATCTCCCTTGGCTCCAGGAGTCCCTCTAATTATCCTCAGGCCCAGCTGGTCAAGGACCGGCATTCGGCCTTGCGGCTGGAGAGCCTGTACTCCGATGAGGAGGACGAGGCTGCAGCAGGGGCTGACAAGATCCAGATGACATGGACCCGGGACAAGTACATGACTGAACCTTGGGACCCCAGCCACACCCCTGACAACTTCCGGGAGCTCGTGCATATTAAGCCGTGAGTACAGTGCAGGTGGACTCAGCCCCCTGGGGGATCTGGAGGGAAGAAGCGGGGTGGGATGGGGCAGACAAGCCGAGCAGGTGGGTCAGGGACTGGGCCTCTTTGCTGGGTGGTTCCTGGTGACCTGTGATGAGCTGCATTACCTGCAGGGACCAGTCCAACGTGCGGCGCATGCACACTGCTGTGAAGCTCAACGAAGTCATCGTCACACGCTCCCACGACGCCCGCCTGGTCCTACTGAACATGCCCGGCCCACCCAAGAACAGCGAGGGTGATGAGAACTGTATCCCTTTGTGAGGCAGAAAGTGGGGGAGGTGCACAGGGTGAGAAGTCAAGCCAGGAGCCCCTCGTGGTGGGGAGGGCAGGCGGGGCCTGGCCGCCCCTTGGTCCTGGTGCTGCCTCCTTGACCTGATGTGCTGCAGACATGGAGTTCCTCGAGGTGCTGACCGAGGGCCTTGAGCGGGTGCTGTTGGTGCGAGGCGGCGGCCGTGAAGTCATCACCATCTACTCCTGAGCCCAGTGTAGGCTCGTGGCCTGGAGTGGGGGTGTCCAGGGAAACAGGCCCCCCAGCGCCTGCCTGCCAGTCCTGCTTTGTCCAGCCCCACCTTGGACCAGCTTTGCTAGGTCTCCTTGGAAACCGGGCCTGGTCATGGAGATGGATCCGAGGTCCTGTGGGACCCTGGGAGGTTTGGGGACTTTCCTCCCTAGCACCGCAGTGGAAGGCTGGTGGGGGCTGACGTGGGGTTTGAAGGCTCAGCCTCGCCTGGGAGCACTATTTATTGTATATTTATTGTTTGGATGTCACCATCAGAGAGGAGGGGGAGGGCAGCAAAGGATGGGGTCTAGCCCAGCTGCCTGCAGGAAGAACTGGCTCAAGCTACTTTGGGCAGGGACCCCCACCAAGCCGAGCCGAATGGAACTGGCCAAGCCGAGGCCTGACTTTTTTCAATAAAACATTGTGTACTTCTGAGCCTCCTGCTGCCCCAGCTCTGTTTCCCCTGGCACCAAGTGAGGAAGGCGGAACCAAAGGCAGGCCGAGCCGGCTCCCTGGGGCTTCGTCCCATCCCGGCAATCTCTGGCCACCCCCATTGGCCAGGCTGTCCCTCCCACTGGCCCTTGGGCTCCTCCCATCCCCACACCGGATAAGGCCAGCCCAGGACTGCCTCATCTGGCAGTAGGCACCAGGGCTGGAATGGGGCCGCCTGGCTCCCCATGGCAGTGGGTGCTGCTGCTGCTGCTGGGGCTGCTGCTCCCTCCTGCTGCCCCCTTCTGGCTCCTCAATGTGCTCTTCCCCCCGCACACCACGCCCAAGGCTGAGCTCAGTAACCACACACGGCCCGTCATTCTCGGTAAGCCCCCGCAGGCCCCTGACGCACTAGGCCAGACCTTGAGGAGTTTGGGCCCCAGCCGCTGCTAACAAATCCAGCCAGGCCCTCCTGCCCCTGCATTAGCCCTGATACCTGCCTCAGTATGGGGAGGGGCCAAGGCTTGTCCTGCAGAGAAGTCAGCCCTTCCCCCACCACACCGGCCTGTGTCTGAGTTGCCTACTGGGGGGGTGCAGTGGGGGATGGGGTCTGCCAGGACATTGCAAACCTCAGTCAGCTACAGCCCCACTGGACACGGGGCCAAGCCCTACCATTTCCTCGGCTCGCACCCCACCAAGGACAAGATGCCCAGCCCAAAGCAGGAGAGGCCTGTCAAGGCCTGCCCCCTGCTCCTAGGCCTAGCCCCAACTCCCCAGTGCCTATTTGCTTTCACTTTGGACTTTGGATATAGTAGAGAACCAGATAGGATGTTTGCTTTACGTGGGCAGGGGTCAGTGGCCTTGGCCCTGCACCCTCCCTGCCCGACAGGGTCTTGGGCTACTGGGGAGACCATGCAGGGTGTGTGATCGGGAAAGGGGGTATCCTTAGTACCTGGGGGTTGAGGGTGTGGGAGAAGGAAGGGTGGATCTGGTCACTGCATGTCTGGGGATGTGGCTATGGGGGGAATCCAAGCAGTCCAGAGTGAGGGCCGCTGCCCACAGTGCCTGGCTGCCTGGGGAACCAGCTGGAAGCTAAGCTGGATAAACCAAGTGTGGTGAACTGGATGTGCTACCGCAAGACAGAGGACTTCTTCACCATCTGGCTGGATCTCAATATGTTTCTACCTCTTGGGGTGGACTGCTGGATCGATAATACCAGGTACACGCATGTGCTCTGCCCCAGCCCCCAGCGCTGCCCCTTGGCTGCTGAATGCTTAGTGTCCCACTGCCCACAGGGTTGTCTACAACCGCAGCTCTGGGCGCGTGTCCAATGCTCCCGGTGTACAGATCCGCGTCCCTGGCTTTGGCAAAACCTACTCTGTTGAGTACCTAGACAACAACAAGCTGGCAGGTGTGTATACTGGAGGAGGTGGTAGGGGCGCCAGATGGTGTCGTGGCCAGAACCTCCAACACTGCTGCCTCCCCCGCAGGTTACATGCACACGCTGGTGCAGAATCTGGTCAACAACGGGTACGTGCGAGATGAGACCGTGCGAGCTGCCCCCTATGACTGGCGGCTGGAGCCCAGTGAGTGTGTGCAGTTGACGGTTTGGGGGTGGGGGCAGGTGGCCCCTGACCCCAGGGCCTTGACTGCAGCTACCCACCTGCAGGCCAGCAGGAGGAGTACTACGGGAAGCTCGCTGGGCTGGTGGAGGAGATGCACGCTGCTTACGGGAAGCCCGTCTTCCTCATTGGGCACAGCCTTGGCTGCCTCCACGTACTCTATTTTTTGCTGCGCCAGCCCCAGTCCTGGAAGGACCGCTTTATTGATGGTTTCATCTCTCTTGGGGCTCCTTGGGGCGGCTCCATCAAGCCCATGCTGGTCTTGGCCTCAGGTGAGAGGGTTTCTGATCACCTGTGTCCTGTGGGGGGGTAGGGTGGAATGAAGTTGACCATGGGACTACCCTCACTGCAGCTTCTGTCCACATGGCCTTTGGGGTATTGTCTACCACACCTGGGGTGTGCCTGCTGCCACTGGCCTCCCCAGAGTCTACGTCAAGGATGACAAAGGGGAAATAAACCCGGGAAGTGAACCCCAGTGACGTGATTCACATCACAAACAACTGAGGTTTGTTCCTTACGGCGGCCCCCACCCCATCCCAGCCACCCAGCATCCACTGCCTTGTGTGCTCCCAGGAGCCCCTCCTGCCCTTCCCTGAAGAGTGGTCCCTGGGACCACTCCTGAGACCCAGCGCGTATTGAGCACCCACTGCATACTGAGTATAGCCAGACTTGGCCTTCTCCCTGGGAGTCTACAATCCGCTGAGGGAGACTCCACCACTAGATGTCAGTCTCATTTCTTCCCAGGACACAACTCTGTTCTGGGAGCAGCCGGTGCCCACCCTCACCCTCATCCTCAGGAAGCCCCTCCTTGCCTGATGCTTGACTCTTCAGCTCTGTCCTACTGAGGTGTCATCAGGGCTTCTCATTTAATAATTACACATTGAGCACCTACTGAATACCAGTTTAGACACAACCTGTGCTAGTCTGTGGCTTGGAGTCCACATCTGGACTCCTGGATTAAGCAGGGAAAGGCGGCCCATCCAGCCTGACTTGCCGTCCCATCTTGTCCATGTCCACAGGTGACAACCAGGGCATCCCACTCATGTCCAGCATCAAGCTGAGAGAGGAGCAGCGCATAACAACGACTTCCCCCTGGATGTTTCCCTCCCAGGGGGTGTGGCCTGAGGACCACGTGTTCATTTCCACACCCAGCTTCAACTACACTGGCCGTGACTTCAAGCGCTTCTTTGAGGACTTGCATTTTGAGGAAGGCTGGTACATGTGGCTCCAGTCACGTGACCTACTGGCAGGACTCCCCGCCCCGGGCGTGGAAGTGTACTGTCTGTATGGCATAGGCCTGCCCACACCCCACACCTACATCTATGACCACGGCTTCCCCTACACGGACCCTGTGGGTGTGCTCTATGAGGATGGGGATGACACAGTGGCCACACGCAGCACTGAGCTCTGTGGCCTCTGGCGAGACCGCCAGCCGCAGCCTGTGCACCTGCTGCCCCTGCATGAGACAGAGCACCTCAACATGGTCTTCAGCAACCAGACGCTGGAGCACATCAATGCCATCCTGCTGGGTGCCTACCGCAGCGGCACTCCTGCCTCCCCGACTGCCAGCCCAGGGAGCCCGCCCCCTGAATAAAGAACTTTCTTGCTACTGTAAGCCCTGCCAAGTGTGTTACGGGTTGAGGGACAGGCACTAAGAGCCCTCACTCAGAATTCACTCGTCACCGGCAGCAGGTCCAGTGCTCTGAGCAGGAGGCAAGAGGGGCTGCAAGGCCTAGGACTGAACTGGATGCCCTGAGATACACAGCTTCCTGCTCTCCTGGCTGAGCTATTAGGCAGCCTGCCCTGTGCCTGTCTGCTGGGCGTGGGATCTGAAGCCACCTGTGCCAACACCTGTGGGAAGGGGGTTAGGGAGGGGATGATCTGAGCCGTCCCAACCAGCTCCTGAGACGGCAAGTGAGACAGCATTTTGGGGGCTGGCAGGTGAGAGCCGTAAATCAGATCATTTCACTAATGAAGGACTAATTATTAACTAGGCTAAGTGCTTTTGGGGAAAAGTTTAGGGAGCAGTAAGAGGCAGAGCCTTGTAGATCAGGGAAGACTTCTCAGGGGAGGTGCTTCCTACACCGAGGTCAGAGCACTGAAGGGATTATGGGCCATTATGAAGACTTGGGCTTGAGTTCGGGGTAGTTTTAACAAGGGAAGGAGTGTGACCAGAATTCCAATTTTTCTCCCCCTCTGCTGAGCACAACATCCAGTGACCGCGGATGCCGGCTAAGATGAACAGCAGCAGGGAAAAAGATGTGCACAGGTAAGAGGGCACTTGTGAGGTGAACTAGGTGGTGTGGCTTTAGGTGGAAGCCAGCGTGCCTCCAGGCCACCAGACGGTTACCCACAGAGCATCACGTGGCCTCAGCGTGAGTTACTGGGGAGGAGGCAAAGGCGGCCACAGGTGCAGGTGACAGAAGACAAACAGCCATGGCCGATGCTCACGGGGCTGCGGCAGGAACACTGCAGCGAACCGATCAACATTCGACAGTTCCAAAGGGGCAGTGGGACTTGATGTGAGACTGAGAGTTGGGGTAAGACAGCTGGTCTCTCAGCCTGGAACGGGGAGGCGCAGAGTAACCGCCAGAGGGCCGTGTCCCTGCCTGAACAGAGGTCCCGGAAAGCAGCATGGAGGGCCGTCACCCTCTCCCCAGGTTGCCTGGGACCAGAGGGGAAGGTGAAAGCGAAAGAAGATGCAAAAGGCGGTGGCCATCCTCCTCTGCAGCAGGGCAGAGGCGAAAGTGAAAGCAGCCGAGTTCCGCAGTCCGGAGTCCACGGAGGTCTTTCTACGTCCCCTACTCCTCTGACCGGGACTCCTCTGACCGACCCCTGTCCGTCTAGTCCCCAATCCGTCTGCCCAGAGATGCTGAAGCCAGCCCTGGAGCTGCGAGGGGGCTTCTCTTTCGAGAACTGCCAGAGGTGAAGGGGGAAGGGTTAGTCCCCAGCTGCCCGTGTTCGCCTTTTTTCCTGGTTGGGGGAGTGGGGAAGCATGGGAGGGTGGGTGCCTTGGGTTTCAGGAGATGAAGGGAGACGTGGGTGGGGTGGGGGCTGTGCCAGGGGCCCTAGATGCGGAGACGAATGTGGGACACCCCCTTCTGTTTCCAGAAACACATCGTTGGAAGGGCTCCTCCCGGAGTTTCGAATTCCTCATGCACGAAAAACCGGGACCACCATCGCGGGCCTTGTGTTCCGCGTGAGCAGGGAGGCCGGCCTGAGGGCGAGAGGGGCCGGGGGTGGGGGGTAGCGGGTGGACACTAAGGCAGCAACCCCGCCCCCTCCGCAGGACGGGGTCATCCTGGGCGCCGATACGCGGGCCACTAACGATTCGGTGGTGGCGGACAAGAGCTGCCAGAAGATCCACTTCATCGCCCCCAACATCTAGTGAGAATCCTCCAACTCCTACTCGCACGCACGAGAGAACCACCCCTGGCTCCCACCCTCACCCCCGCACATCTCAGCCCTGCCCACACTGACACCCCACCCCACCCCGCCCCGCTTTTCCCTCAGCTGCTGTGGGGCTGGAGTCGCCGCGGACACCGAGATGACCACGCGGATGGCGGCGTCCAACATGGAGTTGCACTCGCTGGCCACCGGCCGCGAGCCACGCGTGGCCACGGTCACCCGTGTCCTGCGCCAGACCCTCTTCCGGTGCGGGGGTGGGGCTCAGAGCACTAGGCCCGAGGCAGCGGGAGGCAGCGCCGAGCGGAGACAGCGGAAAGAGAAGGGCTGCGACCTACAGGGAGACCGGAAGAGGCCGGCCCAAGAGAAGTCGGGAACAGGAAGGGGCGGGGCTAGAGTGCAGGGCTGGCGTTGTAGGGGATGGGCTCGCTTGCGGATGACCACGCCCACCCGCGCACAGGTACCGGGGCCACGTGGGCGCGTCGCTGATCGTGGGCGGAGTAGACCTGCATGGACCGCAGCTCTACGGGGTGCACCCTCACGGCTCCTTCAGCCGTCTGCCCTTCACCGCTCTGGGTGAGCGCTCCTCGCCCCTTCCCCACGAGTCTCACCCCTACGGCCCTGGTCTCACGTTTGTGTCGGAGACCAGGTGGCCGCAGCACCTCAGGTGCCCCTCTCGCCCGTAGGCTCCGGCCAGGACGCGGCCCTGGCGGTGCTTGAAGACCGGTTCCAGCCGAATATGACGGTGAGCGGCTGTCCCCTGCACGACGTGGTTACTGGTGGGAAGTGCACGTAGTAGGCGGGGCAGTGCAAAGCGACGCTGGGAGGTCGGGGATGAAGCGCAGTCGGGACAGAGCTCGGCGGGAGTGGCTCACGGGATCCTTAAGAGCAGAAGGAAAAGAGAAAGGCCCCCAGAGGCCTGTGTGGGTTCTGGAGGTTGGATTGGATTTTGTTAGGGGTGGGTTGGCAAATGAGTGACTGTTGTCACTTCGGTACTGGCTAAGGCCCACAAAGAAAATCGCAGTGAATCACGGAGTGGGGCCCGGGAGCAGACTGGGTGGGCGGCCAGTGTAGGGGACTGAGAAGTTTGTGCAGAGAAAGGCAGGCAGTGGAGCAAGGGAACCTTGACGAGACCGGGAAGGCGAATTCAGGGTGGACTGGGAGAGAGGTTCGGTGTGTACCAATCAATGCTAAATAGTCTGGGCTTCAAGGTCAACACAGGCCATTGGGCCTCACACATAACACATCACCGCAGCTGGAGGCCGCTCAGAGCCTGCTGGTGGAAGCCATCACCGCAGGGATCCTGGGTGATCTGGGCTCCGGGGGCAGTGTGGATGCATGTGTGATCACAAGGACCGGGGCCAAGCTGCTGCGGACGCTGAGCTCACCCACAGAGCCCTCGGAGAGGTGGGCGAGTGGGAGATGGACTGCAGGGGAGGGTGGGTGGTAGCAAGGGAGATGGGGAGCTGCAAGAGGAGGACGGGCTGCTTGATGGGCCCATGTGGAGAGGCTGTTCCCCCTCCCTCCAGAGTCAGCCGCTACCCCTTTGCACCTGGAACCACGGCTGTCCTGACCCAGACAGTGAAGCCACTGGACCTGGAGCTCCTGGAGGAAACCGTGCAGTCCATGGAGGTGGAGTGAAGTGGGCTAAGGTTTAGCACTTAGGACACTGAGTGCTCTGGACGAGGGTGAATAAACCCAGAATATGAAACCACCTACGGGATGTGTGTGTTGTTCTTGGGTGAAGTGGAGCAGGTAGCCAGCAGGGCTCTAGTGGCTAAGGTGTCTCTGTAAGGGCCACTGCTTCCTACAGATCCTATGCCTGGCCCAAGAGGTGCCCCTCCAGACCCCAGCCCTGGCCGCGTTACAGGCTCAAGGTGGAAAGCTCCCATCCTGTCTCCCCCAGAACCTTCTGACTCCACACCATCACTCCTCTGCCTTGCTGTTGTCCTCTAGTTCGCTGGAGCTGTAGTAAGAGCCCAAAGACCCCAGGTACTACCCCTACCTAGGCCCTCTCCTTGGCTCATTAGTGGCCCAAGTCAAAGCCCACTCCTCCCAGACGGGCCCACCATGGGCCCCCTCAATGCCTAATGTGTGGAGAGCAGAACTGCTTTCTGACTCCAAGGGCAGGATTTCACAAAGTGCTCCTTGCCCCTGCAACACCTTGCCTGTGACACCCTCAGATGACCAGGCACACCTGAGCTACTTACACAAAGCTGCTGTTGTGTCCACCTGCTAGGCTGTGAGCAAGGAGATTTGAAGCCAAGTTTTCTGAGCTCCTAGGGGTACCAGAACTCATGTCAGGAGAGATGACATTTATCCCATAAACCTCTGCTGAGCACTCACTCAGTGCCAGACCCAGTGCTGGGTACTGGCTGAACTCTGCAACCGAAAAGCTCCAGTAATGCATTGACTATCCATATACCTGCCAGGGACTTACAGGTCACTTTAAAAAAATTATTTTATTATTTATTTGAAAGTCAGAGTTAGAGAGATAAGAGGCAGAGAGTCTTCCATCCACTGGTTCACTCCCCAATTGGCCACAATGGCCAGAGCTGCACCGATCTGAAGCTAGGAGCCAGAAGCCGCCTCTGGGTCTCCCACTTGGATGCAGGGGCCCAAGGACCTGGGTCATCCTCTACTGCTATCCCAGGCCATAGCAGAGAGCTGGATCGGAAGCAGAGCAGCAGGGACTCGAACCGGCACCCACCTGGGATGCTGGCACTGCAGGTGGTGGCTTACCTGCTATGCCACAGCGCCGGCCCACAGTTCACATTTTGTTACCCATGCATTTGCTTTATTCTTTATTGTCTGTCTATCCATCCTTCCACCTATTCACTCATCTCATTTTTTGGACGGAGACTGCCAGCCAACCACCCACTGCAACTTTTGTATAGAGGCATCTTCTCTCCTTTGGTTCAAGCTAAACCTGGAACTCAATAACAAGTGGGTTGTAGACTGCAAGGGTTTGCCCATAGGAGCCTCAAGGCCTGGAGGCTGTCAAAGATTTGTTGGATGTCACCATTCCACTTAAAATCTCATTCTAGGCTCTGCCAATCACCAAGAGCTCACATTCCTCAAAAGTATAGGCATCATGGCTGGTGCTGTGGCATGGTGGGTAAAGCTGCTGCATGCAATACAGTGATCGCATATGGGTATTGTTTCAAGTCCTGGCTGCTTCACTTCCAATCCAGCTCCCTGCTAATGTGCCTGGGAAAGCAGCAGAAGATGGCCCAAGTGCTTGGGCCCCTGCCATCCATGTGGGAGACCTGGAAGAAGCGCCTAGATCCTGGCTTCAGCTTGGCCCAGCCCCTGACATGTGGCCATTTGGGAAGTGAACGAACAGATGGAATATACTCTGACTCTTCCTTTCAAATAAATAAATCAAGGAAGGGAGGGAGAGTAGGCTTCAGAGCCAGACAGATGAGGGTTTGGGGCTGGCGGTAGGGGGGAGTCAACATCTCAGCAACCCGTGGCTCCTGTTTCAGACTGATGAGGAACCTCCAAAATGACGTGTTAGGATTTGCAACCAGCTAGACCTTCCATCCTTCACATCACAACACCTGACACCTGGACTCAGCAGCCATCTCTGAGACTCTGGTGACCCTGATAGCCTTGGAAACTTCCCTGTACTGCATGTCCCTGGTATCCAGTGCCCGATACTTGGGATGTGAAGGGGCCAGAGACCCAATCAGAAGCCTTTGGGATGTGGAGGTGAGAGCCTCACACCTGAGCTCTGGGAAGTCCAGGCCTGGGTCAGGGGACATTGGCCTAAGGACTCTACTAATTAGAGTGTGGGAGAGGGCTGAGCCCACACAGCTAGTCTGGCCACATGCCTGGAACTGTGGCCCAAGGACAAGGAGACCCATAAAGCCAGACCCAGTTCTCAACCTCACGGCTGCCACAACGCTGCTGCTGTCTGACCCTCATCCTGGTCCTCCTTGGCTCCTCCTGGGGTGAGTGGGCTAGGACTAGTCCTGACTGAACAGCTCATGGGGTGGGCCCCGGGAAAGAAGCCAGGCTAGCTGGAAGGGAAGCAGGTGAGCAGTAAGAGCAAAAGGGACAGGATGTACCAGAGCCTGCAGGGCTGGGAGGGGGCGAGAGGCAGGCAGGGGCCAGTGTCATGAATGGGACAGGGGTCAGGGCCAGAGCCTGGGAAGCATGAACCCTCCGGCTGCATTAAGGGTGTGAACTGATCAGGCCTGAAGGGAATAGAGCCAGGGAGGAGAGTAACCCAGGGGTCAGGGCCGGAGGGTAAGGCTGGAGTTGAACAGTGGGAGCTCAGTATGGGAGAAAGGACGATGGGAACTGGGGGCTGGCTGGCTGGGGCTAACAAGGATAGCTGGGGCTCAGGAGAAGGGGTAGTGATGAGCCCTCTGGGGAGCACAGCCTGGCAGTGCCCAGGGAGAGAGGTGGGCCAGGGTATGGGAAGCAGGTCATCACAAGTCCGCCAGGCTGTGGCCGTTGTGGCCAGGCTGTTCCTGCCATCAGACCTGCACTGAGCTTCAGACAGAGGATCGTCAATGGGGAGAATGCTGTGGTGGGCTCCTGGCCCTGGCAGGTGTCTTTGCAGGTACAGGCACCCTAGTGGTGGGGCAGGGTCCAGGAGGCTTCATGCTTGCAGTAGCCTAGGCCTATCCCCACCTGTGACCCCGATCGCAGGACAGCAATGGCTTCCACTTCTTGGTGGATCTCTCATCAGTCAGTCCTGGCTGGTCACTGCTGCCCACTGCAATCTCAGGTGAACACTTGGATCCCCGGGGGCTGCCCCACCCACCTCTTATCTCCTTCCCTTGGAGGCCCATCTTCCTCTGCCTTCTTCCTGCTGCAGCCCTGGCCGCCACTTTGTCGCCTGGGCAAATCTGAACAATCATCCAGCACTGGGACAGTGCAGATGCTGTCCATCACGCAGGTGAATGGCTGAGCTGCCTGTACAGAGTGCAGGAAGGAGGAGGCATGCAGGGTGGCTCTGGGCAACAGGGATTCAAGGAATGTCTGGCCCACCCCTCTCAGCTCCATCAACCCCAGGTGTCTTGCCCATCCCACTCCTGCTCACCTGGCCCCTTCCTGACCCCCGGGCCATCATACACCCCAGCTGGAACCCTACTACTATGAACGACGACCTGACACTGCTGAAGCTCGCCTCACCAGTCCGATATACAACACCTATCTCCCCAGCTTGCCTGGCTTCCTCAAATGAAGCGCTGTCTGCAGGCCTCACGTGTGTCACCACTGGCTGGGTCACCTCAGTGGTGTGGGTAGGAACTCTGACCTGGGAGCTGGGTGGGAGGCTGGGGGTGGGGGGACGACAAGCACCCAGAGCTGACTCATCAGCCCCCCTTCTGGCCCATAGGCAGTGTGACACTGGCATGGGTGCGGCAGGTGGCTCTGTCCCTGGTCACTGTGAATCAGTGCCAATGTTACTGGGGCTCAAGGATCATGGACTCCATGATCTGTGCAGGAAGCTCAGGTGCCGCCTCCTGCTAGGTGCACACCGGACCCTGCTCTCCTATGGCACTGTCCTATGCGACACGCTCTGAACACCAAGCTGACCTCCCCTGTCTGCTTCCCCCGCAGGGTGACTCCGGAGGCCCTCTTGTCTGCCAGAAGGGTAACACCTGGGTGCTTATTGGTGTTGTTTCCTGGGGCACCAGCAACTGCAATGTGTGCGCACCAGCTGTGTACATTCAGGTTAGCAAGTTCAGCACCTGGATCAACCAGGTCACAGCCTATAACTGAGCCCACCACAGGCCCTTGCCCCATCTCAATGAAGACTCCAGGCTCTGTCCACTCACCCATCCCCACCTGTCCTCCTGCCTCACAGGGAAAGAGGGCACTTGAGGATCCTATTCGCCATCTGGACTTTCTCTTCTGGCAGGGAGAGGCTGACAAGTCAGGATCTTCTAGAGTATCTGTGCCCAGGCTGGGTCTCACCCTTCCCCTTCAGGGCAGCCCCTTGGTCCTAAGCAAGGAGCCAGGGCTGTGGAATGAAAAGGCAGCCTTCCCTGAGGAAGGCAGCCTGTTTACTGAATACAGAGAATACATTTACAAACTGAGTACACAAAATAAATAACTGCACATTCTCCATCCACAATCCATGGCATGAGAGCCCAGGTGGGATCAAAGGCCCAAAGCTCCACATACTCTGCTCTCCCCGCAGGACCAGGCCTGCCATGGGCCAGCGAGGAAAGAAGTCCCAGGCTTCAGGCCCCAGACACTGAAGGAACTGGCGGGGTGGGGGTGGGGGAGTGGGGGGGAATTCTGAGGCCATGAGACTTGGGCCATCCACGGCTTCCTGCCCAGGAGGGACTGGGAACGGAAGGAGGTTGTGTATAAGGCACAGTCAGCTTGGCACGGAGTGGTCTTTTTGGTTTGCTTTCCCACCAGGAGGTGGAGTGCAGAAAGAGGGGGCTTGGCCCGAGGCTGACCATGGGGAGGAGCTAATGGGAGCCAGATCTTCCCTGCAGGAAGGAACCCTGCAGTGTGGCTAAAGCCAAAGCTGGGCCTGGCCCCCTCCTTCCCATGAAAGCAGCTGCGGAGGGCAGGGGCTTGGCTTCCCATTTGGTCTGCAGTGGTGGGGAGACAGGACAGATGTGGAGACACTTCTGGCTCAGGCCTCTGGAAAAGCAGCAACCCAACCCCGCCTACCTCCCGTGGGGGTTACTTCCAGCCTCAGAGTGGGCCCAGATTGGAAGGTTTATGCTATAAAAACAAATGGGTGTAGGGTAGACAGGGCCAGGCCAGCTGGGAGAAGGCCAGTCCCTAGGTGCCCAGGGTTCAGAGGCAGGTCACACAGTATGGCTAAGTTCCAGGGAGAGGTGCGCAGAAACTCAGCAGGAGGGGAGAGCAGAGCAGCCCCAGGTCCTCCCACTAGAACAGCAACTCCTTCCTTCCCACTCCCTCTGGGAGGACTGGGTGAGGCAAGGTTGCCCATACCCAAAGCACACACTAGATGGCACCTCTGCGCAGCTGCAAAGAGGAAAGGGTGGTGCCTTAAGAGAAGGGGCTATCAGCAAAACTAAAGGACTGAACCAGGGCTGACAGTGGGACTCATAGGGGACCTGTGCCCTCCACCTTGGCCCAGGTGCCCCCATCCCCCAGGTAGCAGCAGGAGGGGCTTCCTTTACCCCCCATAGTTGGGAAGGAGGCACCTGGGGAATGGAGTGGGCATCCAAGAGGAGAGGGGTTAATGGTGGGCTCTGCAAAGGCGGCACTGAGGGGCAGAAGGCAGGAACACTCTCACAATCAGAGGCTGGAGCCTGGGGCCACCCAGTCAGAAGGGCTCAGGTCCATGCCATAGCCCTGCCTCCAGAGGTTGTGGCAAGTCCTGGAGCCAAAAGGGATACCCTGATAGAAAACAGATCCTGGCAGGAGCCCCGGTCCAGTCAAGGCAACAGTTTTGTGCCTGCCTGAGCCCTCCACTGGGGCATAGTTTTGAGAACCTGGATGCCATAGAGTGTAGGGAGCAGGGAAGACAGGGAGTTTCCAGAAGTAAGTGTCCCAAGGGTCCTGGAGACATGGGACACTCTCCACCAGCACTGCAGGCTCCTTTGGTCTGGGGACAGCCTAAGGGTCAGAGAAACAATGAAGATCAAATTCTGTCCCTTCCACCAACTCATACAGAGCAGCTGCCCACCAAGGGGGTATCAGTGCCAGGTCAGGCTCCCCGTCCAGAGCTCAGAGCCGGCTGGCCACCGCTATTCTGACCAGGCCCAAGTCCTGGTCCATGGTAAGGAGGAGGCTGCTGAAGGCACAGAGAAAGGATGGGGCCAGATGTTCTCCACCTGTCAATGGCCACAGAGGCCCATCTCCAGAAGGGGTAGCAGACCCAGATGGCACGGGTGGGCCTGTGTGCACCTGTGTGGCCAGGTGGGGACAATGCCGTATTTGTACCACAGCCAGGTGGCTCAGCCATTGTACTGCTGCTGGTAGCGCAGGTTGAGCTCTCGTAGCTCCCGTTCCCGCACACGGCGTGACTTGTTGGAGCGTGTCGAGCGGCTGGAACGTGTGGACTGGGCAGACTTGGTGCTCTGGCAGCGTGAGGAAGCGCGTTTGAGGAGGTTCTGGGAGATGGAGCGATGGAGATTCTTCATGGACGAAGAGGCTGCCATGCTCACCACCCATGGGTGCCTCAGGGCCTGCAGTGCAGTCATACGGGCTCCAGGGTCCACGGTCAGCAGGCGGTCAATGAAATCCTTGGCCAGATTGGACACGCTGGGCCAGGGCTAGAGGCCAAGGACACGTATTAGAGTGACAGCACTCAATACTGTTCATCCCATTCAGAAGATGACACCAGCACAGCACCTGGACCTCCCCGATGTCCCTGCAGTCACCCTGGAGGCATGGCCCCCACCCCATGTGGCATCCTGGGCCTCCCCTACCCATGCCATGCAGGCTTCAGGCTGCTGAGCAGGGGCTGTTCTCTAGGCAACGAGAAGAATGGTGAGAAGACAAAGGACTGTCTCCTTGCGGAGGGATCACTTCTAAGGTACCCTGGACCCAAAGCTTAGTATAGAAAGGCAGCCCCTGCCAAGGCTCCCTCAACCTACCAACCAAGCCCAGGACCACCATAACTCAGGAGAATTTAAAGAGAATGACCCAGGGGCCAGCGCTGTGGTCCAAGTTGAAGCCCTGGCCTGAAGCGCCAGCATTCCAAATGGGCACCGGTTCTAGTCCCGGCTGCTCCTCTTCCTATCCAGCTCTCTGCTATGGCCTGGGAAAGCAGTAGAAGATGGCCCAAGTCCTTGGGCCCCTGCATCCACGTGGGAGACCCGGAAGAAGCTCCTGGCTCCTGGCTTCAGATCGGTGCAGCTCCAGCCGTTGCGGCCATCTGGGGAATGAACCAGCAGATGGAAGACCCTCCTCTCTGTCTCTACTTCTCTCTGTAACTCTGTCTTGGATAAAATAAATCTTTAAAATAAATAAAAAATAAATAAATAAAGAGAATGACCCAAGTTTTCTACCATGATGAGTCAGACTCAAATTCTAATTCCTGGATGCCCAGAGAGAGTCCCACCTCTCCCCATCTCCCAAATCAGTTGTAGGAGACCCCAGCATTCCCTGCCTCAGCCTCCTTGCCATAGGAGAAAAGGACAATTCAAGACAATGAGATTTCTCAGTCTACTAGGAGGGCAGAGGCTCCCCAGGCCAGCAGAGACCAGAAGCCTTGTCAGGGGCACTCTCCAGTTTGCCTGCCTTCTTGAAGCCATGGAGGGCTCCTAGCAGTGCTGTGCGCCAGTCTCATTTTAGTAAATCCTGTCCCCAGCAGGGAACTCCACAAATCCTTCTGTGCTCCAGGGTGTCCATGGCTGCCTCATCTCATCCATGCCAACCAGCTGTCTAAGGCCTCAGCCTGCTCAGCTCATCTTCACCTCGCTAACTCCTCGGATTCTCAGAGTAAAGGATGCTTCTTGTCTTAGCCCCCAGTGCTTACAGCAGTTATTCCAGCGATAACTTTTTTTTTTTTTTTTTTTTGGACAGGCAGAGTTAGACAGTGAGTGAGAAAGAGACAGAGAGAGAGAGACAGACAGACAGACAGAAAGGTCTTCCTTCCGTTGGTTCACCCCTGAAATGGCCGCTACGGCCAGCACACTGTGCCAATCTGAAGCAAGGAGCCAGGGGCTTATCCTGGTCTCCCATGCGGGTGCAGGGCCCAAGCACTTGGGCCATCCTCCACTGCACTCCCGGGCCACAGCAGAGAGCTGGACTGGAAGAGGAGCAACCAGGACAGAATCCGGCGCCCGACCAGGACTAGAACCCGGAGTGCCGGCGCCGCAGGCCGAGGATTAGCCTAGTGAGCCGCGGCGCCGGCCTCCAGCAATAACTTTTTAAGACTGAATTCAAGTTTATTATTTCCATTAGACAGTGCTGAGCTGGATGAGCCCCAGGTGTGCAGGAGGTGCTCAGTGGTGACTACAGCTCAGTGAGTCAGCCACCCACGGATGCCGCCTGATGGGTGCCCTTTCCTGGAGCTGCTCCCAGGCCTTGGGGCACAGCCGAGTGAGGTCCAGATGTCCTGGGCTCTTGACCCCCTGCTGGAGGGCAGGCTCTGAGTCCCCGAGCCTCCGTCTGGCACAAGCTCTGATGCTCCTCACAGGTGGGCGACCCTTGTCTGAGCCTGCTGCAGCTGGCTCAGCTGGGACGCCTGGGGCACTGCCATCCTCCTTTCCTGCCCAGTGAGCTCGGCCTCTTCTACTCCATGCCGCCTTTCACCCTGGGGAGCCCCTGAACATGTTCCAGGGGGCACAGGAGAATCTGCAAGAGTTCACAGTCGGGGCAGCAGCACAGCCATCAGCTATTGCTGCCTGCAGCCTGGCTCCAGGGGTCTCCACTCTTCCCCCACCCCTTCTCCTTTGCAGGACTGCTTCAGGGAGAACAAACCTCCACAGTCCTGAGAAGGTGCTGGGGCTGCCTGCAGCTACTGCTCACCGGCCCTTTAGAAGACCTGTCTCAGCTTTTATAGAGAACTGGAAATGACAGGGAAGCCACATTTCCAAAGAGCCAACTTAACAGAGCCATCCTCACCAGCGGGTCAGCTCCAAAGTCCCGGGAAGATACTGGCCCTCAAGAAAAACAAAGTCTGGGTCTCAGGAACACGCCAAGGAGGTCCAGAGGTACCCTGATGTTCAAGAACAGTGAAAGGGTATAGAAGCAAGAGTCCCCCACACTGGTGGGTGCAGGATGCTCTGCAGGCCTGTGTAGCCTAGGAGTACTGGAGTAATTATGCAGGGTGACTGGACTATAGCTGCTGTAATAGCTTTTGGCTCATCGCTCAAGAAAGCCCCATGCCTTCCTGCAGCCACCTGAGCACAGGAATCAGCCCAGACCATAGCTACTCACTCACTCGAGAGATGGAAAGCAGCCCCAATGCAGCTCCTGGTGGATGCAGAAAACCAGGAATGGAACAGATAGATCAGGGGGATAACAGGGTTGTCTTCTAGCTCCCTATAGTTTCAAGAAAAGACACTGTAGTTCAGGCTGGCCTACTAGTAGACAGGCCCCATGACAGGGCTGACAGAGCTGGCCAGCCCAAATGGGGCTGGAACACGGATTCTGCCCATCGCTTGGTCCAGCCTGCAAAGAAGAGGGGGTAACCTCTCAACAGAGGCCAAAATCCTGGTGGAGCTGCACTCAAAAGCCAGGAACCTGAACATGCATGGATTGGAGGCTTCCCCACTTCCTATCCACCCCGGCCATGGACCCCCGAAGCTCTAAACTAGTCCTATGCAAGGTTGAGGGGCCTCACAAGACTCACCCCATGGGCTTAAGCATCTCCATCTCCAGTGTGGCACAAGCTCACACCAGGCATCGACCCCTGCTGCTTATCAAGCAGCCAGCCTATCGGTACCAAAGCGAGTCAGATTGATCTCCCCCTCCTGCTCCCCCAGCCTCTCGCCTCGCCAATTACTGTGCAAGTGTGGCTGTGTGCAGAATGCTGATGGACTCATTTGTCTGAAGGCCAGTCCAGCCATCTCTGTCAGACCCCACTGTTCCCCATCTTTGAAAAGCTGGGAGCAGCTGTGCCAAGGAAGTCCCCCAAGCCAGAGTGACTCAGGAGGTCCTGATCTGAGAGCCAGGACATGTCAGTGATCCATAGCCTAACTCTCACATACTCAGAAACTTCCAGAGGGAAATTAGGCAGCCAAACCACAGGGAGGTGGTCCTTACCCAGGCCACTGAAAGCAAGGGAGGGCCTTACATGGATCTGCAGAATAGCACCCCCTAGAACCCTGCCAAGGATGCCAACAGGGCTCAGAAAAGAAAAGTAAAGCCTCCCATGCTCATCCACAGCCTAGCTCTGGCCCCAAGTCCAGTTCTGTACCTCCCAAGAAAACTTGCAGCCTGACCTAATCCAACATACTTGGGCCCTGGAGCCTCCTAAGTATGTCTGTGAGCCTGCAAGCAATCTGGGCATAGGAATAATGACTAACAGTCACCCTCCATTTCTGAAACTCTAACTGCTTGCCCTGGGTGAAGGACAGGACTCTCACCTCTTCTAGTATCCTTAGAACCAGACCATAGACACACACAGGCCTCAGGTCGCTGACAGGGACAGCTTCAAGTACAACCCGCTTAGACTTCCAGACGCCCCTGCCTGCTCCTGGGCTGACATGGAGCATGGGGCATGGAAAGAAATGTTAAGACACTGACTGGCTTTACCTGAAGACACCCAGGACTCTGTACTCTCGGGTCAGAGGACAGCATCAATGCCAGCACACACCCTCCTTTCCACAAGACCCTGGACCGTGAGAGAGAGGAGCTAGGCCCTGTCTCAAAAGGAAACAGGAGGTTGTGAAGGAGGGGCAGCACCCACCACAGCTCTGTCTCTGGCCACCCAGCTGGCTGGCTGTCTTCCATGCTACAGCCCCCAGCCCCCAGAGTGGCTATGACTCCTTGTAGTTGGGGAACCCACACCTCTGCTGCAATAGCGGAGAAGCCAACAGATAGCAAAGGACCTCCCACAAGCACTTCCTCACCAACGGCACCTCCCTCTCCTCCAGAAGCCACTGCTCAGAGGAGCCTGGCACCGAAACAGAACAGGCTTCCCCTCCAGCTCAGGTGCCTCACCTCTATCTCCCAGCCTCTTTTACTTGCTCTGGCTCTAATATCACTGGGCCTGGCAAGAACTTCATACAAGCCACTCCCATTGGTCTCACTTGGGCCGAAGGGCTAAGGGAACAAAGGAGGGAGTGAGCTCTTGGCCTGGGTTGTAGAGGAGGGAGAACGCTGCTTCTTCTGGCAGCAAACCCTCCTCGGAGGGTTGCCCTTGACTTCCTGGCAAGCAGTCTGACCATTCTCAAGGGAGGCTGGGAAAGGAAGGCCTGGGCTCTCTTCTGGACATCACCTGGGTGGCACTGTTGCCTGTGAGCCAGTAGCTTGGGTTCTACTTCTATTTTCTTACACGACCTAAGAAATCATAGTTGTCTCACTTTTAACAAAAGCCCGAGGGCAAGGAATTATGTCTCTTCCGGTTTCTAAAGCTCTACATTCTTTTTAAAAAAAATCCACCCCTTTTAGTGGTTAATTTTTAAGATTTCATTTATTTATTTATTTAAGAGGTGGAATTATAGATAGAGAGAGGGAAAGACAGAGAGAAGGGTCTTCCATCTGCTGGCTCACTCCCCAAATGGGCCACAACAGCTGGAGCTGGGCTGATCAGAAGCCAGGTCCCAGGAGCTTCTTCTAGGTCTCCCACACGGATGCAGGGGCCCAAGCACCTAGGCCA